TAAAGCATATTTGGTGTGCTGTCCGGGGGGAGGGCTCTGAGCTTGAGGAGACACCCCAACTTGAGTTATTCCCCTTATCAGGAAACAAAGAGGAGTTGGGATTCGAGCAAAGTATCTAGCCCGGCCCCAGAACGCTCCCCCCGGGAAGGCAATGCAAGAGGTGAGGTGACAGGGTGGTGGAGGGACGCTAAAGTCATGAGATGTTGCAGGTAAGACAGCTTTGGTATATATAGGGGTTGCTCAAGAACTGATTTGATGATGGGATAATTGTCAATGACGTATTCGATACTGAAACTTCTGCGCATGCTCCTCCCGAAATTTGTTTACGAAACATCACTTGAATTGTTACCATCAGGGCGCAGGTTTGGAATTCCTAAAGCACGAAGAAATGCTTATAAAAAGTCATTTATCCCAATGGCAGTTGTTATTTTAAATCGGATCACTGTTTAAAGTGAATGACCTGCAGTTTGTATGGGGCTAATTTGGTTGTTAAAATTAAAACTTATGTTGTTGTCTTGATGAGTGTTGTTATTGTTGTTATTTGTTTGTAATTGTTGTCCTAAATCCAGTGTTAAATACAAATTTTCTTTTCTGTGTCAAACAGAACGGACAATCAAGTTTAAACTAATTAACTCATTACTAGGCCCACACAGATTTTCCGCAGAATTCCACCGATTTCTGCAGATTTTTAGCCCATTATTAATTCTGTTTATTTATCTGCGTAAATGTGTAAATCTGAATTTATTCAGTAATTTATTACTTTTTATTTAATATATTAGGGTTTTAATTATGATACTCCCAAAGTAATTCCGCAGAAATCTGCAGATTTTTACCAAAATTCTCCGCAGAAATAGCAAAAAACGTCCGCAGATTCTGTCTGGCCCTACTCATTACCTTTAACACTGAGTTGAACTCTTTTCAAATGAGTAGAATTAACTTTCGGTCAATTTTGAGTCAACTGCACCCATTTCATTTGATAAAGTTGGCTGTTGAGGTTTAAATTATACATCTGTATTTGTATAAAGAGACTTTGGTTTTTTAAGAGTTTAATCATTGCTTAAGCAAATAGTGGGATTCTGCGTAGTTTATTTTGTTGTCATCTCCACCCTCACTATAGCTGCTGCATTATACACTGTAAAAATATCCGTAAATCAACACTTTTTTGTATATTGTGATTTCATGCTTGTATTTTCCCCCATTTATTTGTTTTTGAATTGCATTATGTGATTCTTCCGACAACTTTTAACATTGATAGGTTTAAAAAAGTGATTTTTATTCCCATTTGTAACAGTTTAAAGTGATATACCATTGTATATTATGCTACAAACACCTTATAATAAACTGCCAGTACATGTTCTGTTATTTTACACATGTATTTCTCTCTATATTATTTATTATGCATTACTGTTTCAAAATACTAAAATCTCAATAAAAGTCACTTTGTTAAACTGTAGAGTTGAATTGTCAACATCAAAAGTCGACAGCAGAGATCAAGGTCATATTATGACATTTTTATTTATCTACTTATTTAAGTTTTAATGCCATATCAGCAGCACTGGCTATATTCACGGCAAAAACATATACTAAATATACAATATATAATAATTTAATTGTCAGATCCTGTGTGTTTGTTTTCATCATGTGACCTTCCCCATGTGCTCCTTTGTTCTAGTTCCCACCATTAATTAATGTTCATCTGTTCCACCTGTGTTTATTCCCTGTGTATCATCAGTGTCATTATGTTCCTGTGTATTTATACCCCTTAGTTTGGGTCAGTCCTTCGTCCGGTATTCTCGATTATCACTCCATGTCGTTCCTGTGTCTCCTGTGTTATCGATGTCATTCCAAGTAAGTGTTTGTAAATAAATCTACATGTTTGATAAATCCTGTGATCTGTTTGCCTTCCTGAGTGAATCAAGGTGTTACAATAATCATATGAGTTTCCTCACAAACTAACATTGTATAAACACAACAAATCATACAAGTAACAACACTGAAAACAGTCATGTACAATCTTTTAGTTTGATTAAAGATAAATATTCTAAAATTGCACCAGAAGGCACCTTTTCAAACATTTCACTTAAAATATTTCCCGAATCTCAACACAATAGCCTAGTAGTCAGCATGCTGACATATGGTGCAGCAGCACTTTAGGGCGTCCCAAGTTCGAATCCCGGCACGAGGACATTTCCCGTCCCTACCCCCTCTCTTTCTCCCACTTCGCTTCCCGTCTGAAATACTGTCTTATCCACTTAATAAAAGGCAAAAAAGGCCAAAATATATGTATTAAAAAATAAATAAATGAATAAAAATCTCCCGAATAAAAACGTTCTCTAATACTCAATGGTGGAAAGAGTACTGAAAAATCATACTACTACTACTTGCCTAAAAATGTAGTGCAAGTAGATTAAAAATATCTGTTTTAATTATAACTAAAAAAATTATTATAAAAAATGGGAGCGCTAGCATTCACAGCAAACGAATGACATCGATGCGGTACAAAGTTTGTTGTTGTCTTTGAGATAAGTTATATTGATTACATATTATATTTATTATTTACATAACGCTTTCAGTGTATTATAACAGCTCGTCACCCACTGACGTTATTCTGCAAAATTAACATTAAAGTGAGCGACGTTCGTCTGACAGGTCCATTTGCGATAGCACCCTAACAATGGATATTGGATAAGACGAAATGGCCAAGCATCCAGCCCCAAATATACAATTTCCTTGAAACTCCAGGGGCCTCATGTACGAAGACTTGCGTGGAAATCATACTAAAACATTGCGTACGCACAAAGCTGTAAATGTGCGTACGCAGAAAAAAATTCAGATGTATGAAACACTGCGTACGCCGAATCTCACGCATATTCTTTTGTACATCTGAATGAACGTGAAACTGAGCGCAACATGCACGAGCACAAAACCCCTCCCTGCCTCCTCCCCCGTATGAATATGCTAATGACTATGCTAATGGCAAAACCCAACGAAAAAGCAATGGAAAAAGCAAGCAAAAAGAGAAACTTTGAACAGAATGTGAATTGGAGGTGCTGCTTTCGGAGGTAGACCGGAGAAAAGCGGTGTTATTTGCAAGTTTGTTCTCCGGAATTAACAACAAAAGAAAAAAATAGAGTGGGAGAGTTTAGCTGATGCGGTTAACACAGTTGGGTCTGAACATCGCACTGAGTGCATCAAAGATAGAAATAGTGTGGTTTATATCTGTAAAATGTTGCAGTACCCTTACCAGTCTCAGTGGCGCACCTTGTAAGACGCATGTGATCATGAATAGTTCCGTTCGAGCATGAACTCGGCTCGAATCCAGCGTCTGATGATTTCTTTCTTGTTTTTTCCCCCGCAACATATCAGATTTTGCCCACTATTTATCACGAGAAAGACAAGTAGGAATCATCAATAAGTTCATATCAATAAGCATCATATTTTATTTGCACATTTATTGAATGGAAATGTTTCTGATTCACGCATGCAAATTCATCTTCAGATAGTGTCTTTATAGCAATGTGCGTGCAGTAGATCGCTCAGATTACATTGGGAAAACAGGCGACTGCTGCAAATTGTGCTTTAATGTTTGGCTGGTCAACTGTATGGTATGGAAACCTTATATACCTGCTGAACCCGTCTCATACAGCTCCCATTGCAAGGCTTAGACACTTTGTAGAGAAGAATTTAACACAACTGCCTCTAGGAGTCGCCAATGGAAATAAAACAGACACGCACAAAAAATGTGCGTACGCCAGCCAGAAAGCTGCCGTGAAGCTGCGCACATTCCCACGTTCAGTTCATTGTTAGTAAATCCAAACGTGAGCGATTCTGAGCGTGAAACCTGGCGTACGCAAAGTTTTTGTGCGTACGCAGCGTTGATACATGAGGCCCCAGGTGATTTTACAAGAGAGTTAAAGGTAAAGGCCTACAAGTCTTTGGATGCCTACAACGTTGTTCTGTGTGGTCATGTGCTAGAAATAATGATCCATGATTACCAGATTCAAAACTATGTAGTGCTAAAAACCGAGGTTCTGCCTAGCCAAAGACAAGGAAAGAAGACGGAGCTGTACAGGGCCTGGGTAATCATCAACAAGCAAAACTACTGCATTCTGACAGCGAACTTCACCTGTACGGCAGAGTATGTGAATGCACATGTTTACATTTCATTCTAAGCATTCAATGTCCGCAGTTAAATTCACCATATATAACCGATTTTGCTGAAATCATTGCTGCAATCAAAAACGAGTAATGTGTATAATTCATAATAGCGTGAACTTACCTGATAGGAAATGAGAACTGCAGAGTCACGCATTTTTAATTAGGTCCTCACTCCATTCAGCTCTTATAATGGCTGTTAGCCAATAACATCTGCGGTTAAAAGCAGTGTGGTGTACAGTAAAAGTTACGTTTTCTATTTTTGGACTTACAAATTTGGTATCCTATTGCACAAATCGACATGTTTGCTATTGCAGCTGGTCCTTTTTTGCAACCACTATGCGCGGTTAAACCCTTGTGACGTAAGTTGGTAATTCCCCTATAGTGCATGTGTTTGGACGGTGGGGAAACCAGAGCACCCGGAGGAAACCCACGCCAACATGAGGAGAACATGCAAACTCCACATATAAATGCCAACTGACCCAGCCGAAGCTTGAACCAGCGACCTTCTTGCCGTGAGGTGACACTGAGCCACTGTGTTGTCCCAAATAATAATACAACATATATAAATAAATACAATAACAAAAATGAACAAATAAAATAAATAATAAACAAAGCAAAATAAGTAGCAGGGCAGTTGAAGCCCACAAATTAATTATCTTTTATCTCTCTTATTGTCTTCAAATATATCACAATTTTTTGAATTTTTGGGGAAATCTTGAAACATGTACATTTATGAATATCAAATATCAACAAAATATTTAGAATATAAAATAACCCCAAAAAAACCCCGCGTAAAACCTGCCTGCTTTCACGCGCTTCCTGGACGCAGCTCTCCGATTGGTCAGACACCCGGACGTGCGTCACGGGATAACAACATGTCCGCGTTCATTTGAAACAGAATAGTGTGCTCGGTTTGCTTTTCACCGCATACTTTGATGAGTTTGTACGTTTCTCCAAGTGAGCAGGAGATTGCAGAGGGAGAAGCATCTGTTAAAGGGAAGGACCGCACTCCAGGACTGGAAGATCGACTATTTGTTATTATCAGGTGAATATCGGAGCGGATGTTGCTAACTTAGCTGTAGCGCCGCGGCTAATGCTGACAGCATGACAGACCGGGTTTATCATGAAGTTTTACATATAATTATCATCAGAAAAAGAGCTCATGTACAGTGTTATCTATGTTTTTACTTACTGATTTATTGAAAGGGTTAATCGCACATCATAAATATATCTGCTAACGTTATTTGGCGAACGATAATGAATTGAATTGTCTCTTAATGTCGTATTTTTTAACGTTACTTATGAAATTGCGTGAACAGTTGATGTGCAAGTACATACTGACAGATATTGAGCTAAATTAGGGTTTATATTCAGACTTTTACCATTTCAATATAATTTTCAGAAAAGTATTCTTTGGTAATTCTCAAAAGGGAAATTACATTAGCTGCCAATGTCTATCAGTACATCATTGTTACTGATGTCTTTGCATTGTCTTCTATCCATCAGTGACAGTATATCTTTTTAAATCAGATTCATTTACAACATTTGGTTGAAACATTTAGTTTCAGTTTGCTGTTTTGTAGTTTAACATTAAAACAAACTACCCCCAAAAAAACTGCCTCTCTTCTATAAATGGATGGGGGGCCACCTTTTGCCTGCGGGCCCTAGTTTGGGCATCTCTGATATAGGGACCGTGTTCAAAATCTTCTGAACTGAACAAATGTGCGAGTATAAACTTTACATCAGTCTGATAGATTGACAAAAGTAACCCTAATATATGACAGACATATATGTGACAGATATTTGAGCAGACAGGCTGTGCAGGCATGAATATTTGGCAGTATATTTTTTGTAATGTATTGTAATAATGATTATATATGTACAGTTGTATAAAATATATTATCCCACCTACGAAATGAATAATTTTCCAATCAAGTGTTGTTAAACGGGGTAAAAATCTTTTTAAAACTTTTTTTCCCCTATCATAATAGTTTTAATAGCTAATTTTTTTGTTTTTGTTGTGATGACTGCATATTATTTTAGTAGTTATTTTGTAACAGTATTATTCAGCTTAAACTGCAATTTAAAGGCTTAACTGCGTTAATTAGGTTAACTAGGCAAATCACTGGATAACCATGGTTTATTCTGTAGACCAGTGGTCACCAAACTTGTTCCTGGAGGGCCGGTGTCCTGCAGATTTTACCTCCAACCCTAATCAAACACACCTGAACAAGCTAATCAAGGTCTTACTAGGTATACTTGAATCATCCAGGCAGGTGTGTTGAGGAAGTTGGAGCTAGACCCTGCAGGGACACCGGCCCTCCAGGACCGAGATTGGTGACCCCTGCTGTAGACAATCAAATTTTAGTTTTGTAATGTGGCTAAAGTTTTTACATTAAGAAAAGATGTGTATTTTCAATCCAGCCGAACTAAAAGGAATACGACTTTCTTCAGATGGAAAGTTCTTGCTCTGTTAAACATCACTTGGAAAATGTTTTAAATATATAATAAAATTTTCTTATTGGAACTATAGTCAACATTTGAAGCAGATCAGCAAAGTTAATCCAAGTTGTCCTAAAACAAGGGTAGGTATTGTTTAATCCACATTTTGATAGCTTTATTAAAAAAGGAAACAAAAATGAATATACAGTTGGGGAAAATAAGCATTGAACACATCCTGTTTTTTTCCTAGTAATAATATTTCTAAAGGAGCTGTTGACATGGAATTGAAGTAGATTTTGATTATAACCCAAATAATACAAACATAAAAATTAAACAAAACAATCTGATAAATGAGTTATCTGTAATAACAATGAAATGACACAAGGAGAAAGTGCTGAACTACTGAAATGTATTTAATGCTTTATATAAAGATGTTTTAGTGATGGCAGCTTAAAGACGTCTCTCATATGGAAAATAAAGTCGCATGCATTGCTCAGGTGTGAGTTTTCTCACAGACTTCAACAGAGTGTGAAATTCTTGATGGTTCTGTGGGTCTCGATTGTCAAATCTGACCTTTTTTCTGTATTTTCTATCGGATTCAAGTCAGGTGATTGGCTGGGCCATTCTACAGCTTGATTTTCTTTCTCTGAAAGCATTTGAGAGTTTCTCAGCTGTGTTTTGGATCATTGTCTTGCTGAAATGTCCACCCTGGGGTCCGTTCTTCGTACCTCGCTTAAATGATCTAAGATGATTTGGCAGATCCTGGATCTTTTAATCTTGATATCTGATCTCTCGCTAATTTGGTTCTTCAAACAAGTTCGCGAATCAGATTAGAATGTCTGGATGAACTGATCTGAGATCGCTGCGTGTGTTATGAAGGACAGATCTATCGATCCTCGAAATCATGATCAGCAATGCAACGATTGGCTGACGGCACAGCAGCGTAATGACATCATCTGATTAATATTCAATTATCCATGTGAGCAAAATTACATCAAATTAGCAGTAAACGGTTTGTGAAATATGACACGCAAGGACTTTCCACATTTGTTATGAGCTGCTTTACACTTTCATTTGTCAGGACAAGAGTATTCATCATGTATTTCCATGCAAATCAATGTATTTAGTTCTTCATTTAGAAAAGATTTTCTTTATTATAGTAGCAGTTTTTTTAATCGGTGTAAAGAATAACTGGTTGTTTACAAAAGCATTTTCATATTGGTAAAGGTGTCTGCAACTTTTGTGAAGCATCAAATCACTGGCATATTAACTGTCAAAACATGTTTATGACTGCATTAATGTATTATTGCTTTAAAAAAAAGTCACATATTCTGCATTTCTATTATACACAATTTGTACTAAAGCGATTTAAAAAGTTCATATCAATAAGTTTTCTCTTTGCACCACCAGGTGGCAGTCTTTGTACTTTCATTTCGATGGTAAAGATTGCATAAGTTTTATTAATATGTATAACTTTATTTATTTTATTAATAACTATAACTTTATATATATAGTTAAAAATTTGTACCATTTTCCCAAGTGTATATAACCACTACTGTAAGAAAATATCAGAATTCGGAACACTTTCTGTATTATATTTGCTTGAACTGAGCCGATCTAATCCTGTTTATATGAATTGAACCTGCTCCCGATCAGGTTTGACCTAGCAGAACTGTTGCTATGACAACAACTCTCGGATTAGCTTTGAAGAACGAAACGATCCTGGATCGTGTCAAATCGTCAATATCCAAATCCAGCTAATTGAGTAATCCGCGTACGAAGAACGGACCCCTGGTTTCATCTTCATCCTCCTGCTAATGTAGATGTTGGACTGAAGCAGCTGATATTCATTTACACTGAGGAAGAGCAGAGGGTTGCTGAAAAACTAATGAGAGATTTCAGCTGCTGTCTGGGCTGTCACTGCCTTTCTACACCTCCCTTTCTTCATGTGTTCAATACTTTTTCACTGCATCTTTTCATTTTATTACACTAACGTCATTAGTAAACTAACTAGATTTGTTTTCTTTGCATGGAGTTATTTGGTTGTTACCAAGATTCAGTGAAGATTTCAAGTCAATGGCACCTTTAGAAATACATTTACTGAGAAAAATGTGAGGTGTTCGATACGTATTTCCCCCAGTGTGTATGAATCAAGAAAAATTAAAATGTGCTAAAAGTCTAAGGTGCTTTATATTTATATATATATATATATGGCTGATTCCAGCGTTATGGATGTGACATTTGCAGTAAAAATTCAAAACATAAATTCGCTGAGAAAGTATACGTTAACATTATATTAAATCATCTGTTTATATTTTCCAAAACAACTAACCACAGAGTTATGGGATCAAAAAAATTGAATCTGTGAACATGTTAATACTTTAAATGAGGAAAATAAACAAGCGTTATGGATGTGACAAAAAAAGTCTGTGAGTTTACAGTATACAACATATTTCGTAGAAATTCTGTGAATTAAACTGCACAACCCAAAATAAATAATGCTCAACAAAAGGATAAGAGTTGGCTCTTTATAGAACAAAACTGATTGATTTTATTTTATTTTGACATTTTTGCAATTTTGAGGGAAAATCTTTGTTATGGATGTGACACTTTTTCGTTATGGATGTGACGGATGTGAAATTGCCATTGGTTTGACTTTGGTAAATCAAATATAATAGTTTGAAAACATTGACAGAGACATTTTTAGGTATTTTTAAAGTACTGTAAAACACTTGCCTGCGCAAAAAAATGTAGAAACGGTTTCGCTATTTAGGTGAAAACATTTTTCTTTTCATGGCAAGGTTGACATTTTCATGGAATTGCTCATATATATATATATATGTAATGATGATATGCATTCCATAAAAATAGTTTGTCATTAGTTCAAACCTGATTGACCTCAATTGTGTCCCTTTGCTTTCCAGAAATAATGCTGATATTGGGAACTCATGTCGCACGTCTATGAAGAGAGAGCCACAATGATAGCCGCAGGCGAATTGCAGTCGTTTGTCCCATTCGGTCGTGAGCACTGCAAAAATCACCCGAATGCTGTGAATCTCCAGCTGCGGCAGCTCCAGCCGGCATCTGAGCTCTGGTCCTCCGACGGGGCAGCCGGGCTTGTGGGATCTCTTCAGGAGGTAACTCTACAGGAGCGTGACAAGGTATATTTTCCTCAATGATAATTTGTTTTGGTCCCACGTTATATGAAGTGTCGTTAACTACTGTGTAAAAAAATGTATACGTTATACTTACTGTGTTTGTAATGTATTGCAGAACACCTATTGAGATGGGTTAATGACAGGTTTGATGGTATGAGTAGGTTTAAGGGTGGATTAAGATTTAAAGGCTGATCAACAGTGTATTTAAATAAGTAATTACAGAAATTAATTGGAGATATAATTACATGCAGCGATATAATTAATCATAAGTACCACACTCAAAAAAATGATATGTTGGCGTTAATTAACTTTTTTTTGTCCACTGGTTCCACGTAACCGAGTTAAGTTACCTTTAAGAAAGAATATTAATTTTAGTGAACTTAAGTTAGTTACATAAAGGTAATGTAACGTTGTTTAGTTCAATCAACGTAACATTTATAATTTAGCTTTAATCAATGCAGTTATTTAAGTTCAATTATTCTAAAATTGATATTGTTATGTTTAACCAAATAAAAAAACAGTTTCCGTTTCATTGAGTTTATTCAATAGCATTTTTACAGTTTTACACATTTTCCAGCAATAAAATGATTATCAAAATCCAAATTCTGTCTTTATCTGTATCTTCACTTATTACAATAAGTTAAAATATTAATACTATTAAAATAATAGTAATACAAGTATGAACCAAATTGAAAACAATAAATGATTAACAAAAATATGCTTACAAAAACATCATAAAATACACTTTTTAAAATAATACTTTTCATATATTACAAAAACATTCAAAAATAATATTCTGCCTTCAAATGATTTATCAAAAATATACTTAGAAAAATCAAGTCTTCTTTTGTAAACTATACTGTACCTTTTTTACACTGAAAAAGCAGACAACACTTCAGTTGTTCAAAGAAAGATTAACATTTTAAAGCAAAGTAACACGATCAGCACTACACTATAAATTAGACCAACCATCACAGAACATGCAATAGCTACACACATTCATCTCTCTGACACTTGCACCATTTATGCACATTTGCACCAGACACTTTCTTACAACCACTCCCTATATCTAAAAAACAAAACATTGTGCATGAAGTCTGCTTCACACAGGTGTGTGGGCTTGACAAACCACATGTAGAAGCATTCTTAATTCTTAATTTTTTTTTTTTATAATTAGCACATCTTGGGTGTATCGCCTCTTCTTGTTGATTTGCTGAATGTGTCCTCAATTGTAAGTCACTTTAGACAAGAGTCTGCTAAATGTTAATGTAACTACTGTAGATTCATAAGGTGGTGTTGCACATCAAGGTTTGCGCTTCATCATGCCCAGCATCCTAAAAAAGTCAGGTAAAAAAATTAAACTTTTACCAACAGATCAAAGGTGAAAGGAGGAATTGGTTTAAGAGGAAAATACAAAATGTTTAAAAAAATAAAATAAAATAGCTTACCATGTACTTTGAGGATGCATTCACACCTTTTTTTTCCACTGGGGATTTTCTAAATGACATGAAATGACAATTAGTAATTTACTAAATAATTAGTAGTTAAAATTACTAGTAATTTTTACTGTACATCATTTTAATGTGTGTATAGGCATCTAAAGGCATAGTACCTGGATGATCCACAGTCTCCTCAGCCAGATATGGGACTTTAGAGGTTGAGCTGTAAACCTGTGAGGGAGAAAATAGATGTGAGTGAGCAAAAATTTAAAATAATAAAATATAATAATATAAATAGTCAATTAAAACGTGTTAGATGACCAAACAAATAAGCTTACATTAAATATATCATCATGCTAGATGTCATCCTTTTTAAGTGTCACAAATGCATTTTTGCTGGTTTTTTTTTTTAAGTTAACAGGCTTGAATAATACAATTAAATAATAAATAACACTGTGCTAACACCACATTTTAATCAATATTATGTAAGTTATCAAAACTAGCATTCAAACTCGACAAACTGCTTGACACTCATTTAAAATAAAGACCATCAAATCAAATAAAAAATCAAATCACTTTTATTGTCACATTATCAGCAGCACGTGTGCTATGATGAGTGAAAAGCTTAGACTATTCTAACATGACTATTTCTTACTACCAACGTTTGTAACTTTATTTTGGGGGAGTTAATATATACCAAGTATAAAATTTCACAGGAATGCAAAACAATCTATACATTTATCTGTCTATAATGTGCAAAAGACACAGGGAACATGGCAATTTCAAAGCAATACTATACACAAACACAACATAGTATTACAAGAGAGTACATTTATGATTCAAATGTTGTCACAGCCTCAGTATAAATACATAAAAAGTAAACTCACCTGTGTGTCCACATTGGGGAAAGCTTTGTGCACGTTCTCAATTTGTACTGTAATCTTCATCTTTTGATTCCCATAATATGGCGCTGAACTGAGAGTGATCAGCTGCGTCCCAAATGGCACACTATACACTATGCACTCATGCACTATGTACTTATGCACTTACACACTCAACAGGATAGTATATGTATGTAGTGTCGTCCCAAATGGCACACTAATGTTTTTTTACTAAGCGGAAATTCAAACCGTTTCCCTGATGACGTTTGACGGTTGCCAAATCATTGAAGTAAACGGCCGAATTATCAAATAATACCTGCCGTGAGTGTTGCCGCAATCACTATCGGGAGGCGCTATAATCACTCTCGTAAAAGAATTTTGCTTTCACCATCCAAATTAAATAAAGTTATTCAACATGTGCGTCCGATAGCTCCGCCCCTTCCGCTACGTAAGCAAACCTGCGGTCGTTGAGTGCGTGAAGTGTCCATCATTACACACTTCATTTTAGCGGCTGAATGAGTGCATCATCCGGGTAATTAAAGTGCACTTATTATTTTTAGAGTTTTCAGTGTGAACGCACTACATACACTATTTATACTACAAAATGGCGTAGAATAGTGCATAAGTATGCGATTTGGGACGCAGCTATCGTTGTGGTTTGAATCTTCTTACTTCCTGTGTTGTTTTGAAACTGCGCATGTGCAGATATTACTCCACCTATTGACCAAAATGCAGTACTACAGAAGCAACACAACTCCCTTTCATTCATGTTAATTAAGCAAGCTGTTTAAATGTAAAAACTTACTTTTTCTAATTTTTTCCAACACAACACTTTTATTTTTAATACACAAACATGAGCGAATTGTTTAATTTAAACATAGTTATATTCTTTGGACCAACTAAAGCCATAATTCATTTTTTTGAGTGCATGTAAAAACATGTACAGTTAAAATTATTTGTGAAAACCCCTGTCAATTATTGAACAGTTTTTTCTTTTTCAATTTTTTCCCAAATGATGTTTAACAGATTCAGGAATTATTCACTATATTTCCTATAATATTTTTTCTTCTGGAGAAAGTGTTATTGGTTTTATTTTGACTAGAATAAAAGCAGTTTTTAATTTTTTAAATGCCATTTTAGGGTCTATATTATTAGCCTTCTTAAGCAATATTTGTTTTCAATTGTCTACAGAACAAACCACTACTATACAATGATTTGTCTAATTCCCTTACTTGTCTAGTTAACCTAATGTACACAGTTATTCCTTTTAAATGTCACTTTCTTTTTAAATGTCACTTTAAGCTGTATAGAAGTGTCTTAAAAATATCTAGTCAAATATTATGTACTGTCATCATGACAAATATAAAAGAAATTAGTTATTAAAACTATTATGACAGAAATTGGGGAAAATATACAGGGGGCTAATAATTCTGACTTAAACTGTTTTTACACAATAAGTACATTGTAGCAAATTATTATTTTCAGTGCAAGTACATATTAGTTAAGGCCATCTAATATAAAGTGTTTCTTCTGAGTAGAATGATCACTTCTATTTTTCCATCGTACACACAGATAGACGGTTACAGTGGTGATGTTTAATAATTCAATATATCATGATAATGACCATGCACAATATTGATATTGAGGGATACGGTAAATAATTATTTATTATTTAAACTTTTAGAGTGCATTTAATAATATTCAAATTTTATTGGCAGTGATTGTTCATCGCAGCACCAAATGCTGGAAGACTTAAAGGGTTAGTTCACCCAAACTTTAAAATTCACTCACTGTTTTCTCCATTTCAAGTGGTTCCAAACCATTATGAGTTTCTTTCTTCTGTTGAATACTAAGGTAGATATTTTGAAGAATGCTGGACTTGTAACCATTGACTACATTTTTTCTCTACTATTGAAGTCAATGGTTACAGGTTTTCTGCTTTCGTCAAAATATCTTCTTTTGAGTTCATCAAAAGATAGAAACTTAGGCAGGTTTGAAACAAGTAAACGGAGAGTAAATGATTATAGACTTTTCCTTTTAGGGTGAACTGTCCTTTTAAAAGGGGATCTTTATTTCAAACACAAACTTTTTCACATGTTAATCTTGCCTACGATATTAAAAAAAGTGTGATTATTAATAAGCCTTCTGTTTGATAACTCTGTACAGTAAAGCATTTCAAGTAAAGCAACAGTAAAGTATTTGTTAACATCACCTTAACTAAAGTCATCATGACGAAGTCAAGTCAGTAATGACAACTGCGTAAGCATTTATTAATCTTAAGTGCTGCTAATTTAGTTGTATTTTTACAATTATCTTTAACATATACAGTTGAGATCAAAATTATTAGCCCTCCCGAATTATTACCTCACTTCTATTATAAAGGGGCTAATAATATTGACCTTAAAATGGCTTTAAAAAATTAAACTGCTTTAATTTTAGCCAAAATAAGACTTTCTCCAGTAGAAAAAAAATAAAGTAAATACTGTAAAAAAAAATAATATAATATTAAATATTGGAAAAAAACTAAAAGTTCACAGCAGGGCGAATCATTTTGACTTTAGCTGTAACTATAATCTGTATTTTTCTCACTGTTGCATTATCTAGCATTTATTATTGACACTTTATTGTAGAATGTTAGCTATTGTACTTTGTCATCCTTATTTGTTAATTTAATTTGTTTAATTAATTAGTTTACTCTGAATGCATATACAAAAAAAGAAATATTTAGTATTTTTTTTGTTGAAGTAATCTTTTTTTTGCAGCATATAGGTCAATATTTTGATAATACCATATATTGCGACAAAAGCTTCAGCAGTTAATCGCAATATGAAAATATCTTCTTTTGAGTTCATCAGAAGATAGAAACTTTGGCAGGTTTGAAACAAGTAGATGGAGAGTAAATGATTACAGACTTTTCCTTTTAGGGTGAACTGTCCTTTTAAAAGGGGATCTTTATTTCAAACACTAACGTTTTCACATGTTAATCTTACCTACGATATTAAAAAAGTGTGATTATTAATAAGCCTTCTGTTTGATAACTCTGTACAGTAAAGCATTTCAAGTAAAGCAACAGTAAAGTATTTGTTAACATCACCTTAACTAAAGTCATCATGACGAAGTCAAGTCAGTAATGACAACTGCATTAGCATTTATTAATCTTAAGTGCTGCTGATTTAGTTGTATTTTTACAATTATCTTTAACATATTGAGTTGAGATCAAAATTATTAGCCCTCCCGAATTATTACCTCACTTCTATTATAAAGGGGCTAATAATATTGACCTTAAAAATGGCTTTAAAAAAATTAAACTGCTTTAATATTAGCCAAAATAAGACTTTCTCCAGTAGAAAAAAAATAAAGTAAATACTGTAAAAATAATATAATATTAAATATTGGCAAAAAAGGTGATCTTTATTTCAAACACAAACGTTTTCACATGTTAACCTTGCCTACGATATTAAAAAAAGTGTGATTATTAATAAGCCTTCTGTTTGATAACTCTGTACTGTAAAGCATTTCAAGTAAAGCAACAGTAAAGTATTTGTTAACATCACCTTAACTAAAGTCATCATGACGAAGTCAAGTCAGTAATCACAACTTCATAAGCATTTATTAGTCTTAAGTGCTGCTAATACTTAACATTAAAATCAAACGTAAATATCTAATCAAATTTAGTTGTATTTTTACAATTATCTTTAACATATACAGTTGAGATCAACATTATTAGCCCTCCTGAATTATTACCCTACCTCTATTATAAAGGGGCTAATAATATTGACTTAAAAAAAATTAAACTGTTTTAATTCTAGCCAAAATAAAACAAATAAGACTTTCTCCAGTAGAAAAAAATTATTATAAGAAATACTGTGAAAATAACAGGGGAAATATTGGAAAAAATAACAAAAGTTCACAGCAGGGCGACTCATTTTGACTTCAGCTGTAACTATAATCTGTATTTTTCTCACTGTTGAATTTAATGCATGATCTAGCTTTTATTATTGACACTTTATTGTAGAATGTTAGCTATTGTACTTTGTCATCCTTATTTGTTAATTTAATTTGTTTAATTAATTAGTTTACTCTGAATGCATATACAAAAAAAGAAATATTTAGTATTTTTTCTTTTAAAGTAATCTTTTTTTGCAGCATATAGGTCAATATTTTAATAATACCATATATTGCGACAAAAGCTTCAGCAGTCAATCGCATTATGAAAATTTGATACCGATAAGTAAATACTGCATGTTTTGAGCTTGATTATGGTGTGATTGGCAGGAGCGCTGGCAGCTGAGGAAGGGAACGGCTCCTGATGATGTTGAATATGACGAGGAGCTGTATGTGGCTGGAAACATGGTCATCTGGAGTCGTGGCAGTAAGAATCAAGCCTCATGTGTGTACAAGGCTTTCACAGTCGACAGCCCAGTTCAGCAGGTACCGTCTGCAAAAACATAAAATGAGGCTAGACTTTTTTCCAGAACAAATGGCTCTTTTATTAATTAAAGCGCAACTCAAAACAACAATAATCTTGTGATTTGCCATTATTTTGGTCATTTGTTATTTTATAATGTTTCATTTAGTAACAAGTGGGACAAGTGTCATAAAGCTTTTTATTATGTTTTAGAATTCGTCAATAAATGGCATAAAGTGTCATTAATTTATGTTTTAATACTTAATACTTATTTAAAATGTAAGTAGTATATTTCTTAAAACTAAAAGGCACCGTTTGACTCGAGTGTAAAGAATTAGGACCTCCGTTTCTGTTGTCCATTTGTTAATCTATATGTTTTTTTATGTTTTTTTTTTGTTAATCTATATGTTTTTTAGAATTAGGAGTAAAGTAATTTTCTGAATATTATACTAACTATTAAAGTATTTAAACTAATACTTTAAATATTTATATACTATATTAATATTTCTATTATATATATTTAGTTTTTACCAGTTACAAAAAACATTTCTGAATTCTAACTTGATGTTGCTTGACACTGTCCTGTTATAATGTTATGATCAAGCCTCTGAAATCCGAGCATAATTTAATTTCTATTACAAATTAGGTTAAAAAAAATGTCCTGGCAGTGGCAAATATCTTTGGCTGTAATTTCAATTTGATCACATCATTTAAGTTGAGATTTAAAATATTTGAACTGCTATAATGTTATGGGAATATGTTTTTTTTGTTGTTCATACACTCACTCAGTACTTTTAAAATAAAAGTGCTCAATGCATTTTTTTAAAAATCATTATTGATTTTGTACATAACAATGTGATAAAAAAAATAGTTGCCCAGCACTATTATAATATAATATAATATAATATAATATAATAATAAATTTAATATAGTATAGCAGAACAACTAAACTGTATTTTTTAAAAATGTTTTTTTATTATCTTAATTTTCTATTTATTATTAACCCTCTCAGGCTCAAATTAAGTTTTAGAAACAGGAAAAATCTGATATTTGCGGAAAATTATCATATGGGGTAGTACAATAGAACCCTGACTTTTTTTTTTTAGAGAGACCTTCACATGCAAGGCGTTCTGGGATGTTGGGGGATGTTGCAGATTTGCAACATTGGCCCAGTGTGGTAATTAGACACTGATGACTGAATATGACATGAAAATTAATTTTTATATACAACTTTTCAAACGATGTAACAAATTGCTTTTCAGTGGGAGAACTACAACAAAATAATATGAGATCCAAATCCAATATCTCAAATCTTCATTGAGTATATCTCATTGATCCAATATCTCAAAACCTCATGTTTCCTAGTCACTTTGTCATGTACTCCAAGAAACAGTTTTTGTCCTGCAGTGGTACTTCTGAGTAAAAAAAACTCATAAAATATGTATCTGGAGTAATAAGGTAGTTAATTTTTACCTGTTGCAAATCTGAGCCTGCCTTAAGAGGGTTAATATTATTGTTATTTTTTCACAAGTTTTGTGTTGTGGATATCTTGGCCAGTTCACCCTTGTAAATGAGATCTTGATCTCAATGTTTTTTTTTATCTGGTTAAATAAAGAAACGTATATAATATAAAATTCATTACTTTTTTGAAGTCGCTTAGCCAACATTGATTATACTGTAAGTTATATATATCTGTTGCACTGAATGATGTCTTTGTTATTTATATACAGTTTGATATTTTCCTTTAAGAAAGATGTTTTTATTCTAATAATGAAAGTTGCATCATATGTATTTTATATGCTTTCTATTTAATTAAATTCATCCATGTAAATTTAACTAAAGCAGACGCCAAAATGGAATATTGCGTTCCATAGACGTGTTTTAAGTTCCCCAAATTTTTTAAACTGCTATGTTACGAATGTAGTCAAACTTGCATTGTCCTGTTTTTATTAATTAATTAATTAATTTATTTATTTATTTATTTATTTTTTTGAGAGTATGCTGTTGTATTTTGCACTGTCTGTATTTTGCACTGTCTGTATTTTGCACTGTCTGTATTTTGCACCGTCTGTATTTTGCACCGTCATTGTATTTGCACTGTCAGTATTTTTCACTGCTGTTGTATTTGGTACTGTCTTTAGCCAGCACCTGAACTTTTCACTCATCATAGCACACGTGCTGCTGCTGATGTGACAATAAAAGTGATTTTGATTTGATTTGATGTTTATTTGTTCTTCTAATTAAGTATTCGCTTTTATTGTAATTGTTTTACAGGCTCTTTGGTGTAATTTCACTGTTCCTCAGGCTAAAAAAGATGGTAAGAATTTATACAATTTTGTGTTTATGTAAATTGTCGTACAAATGCATTTGCTTATACATGTATGTTATTTATTTGATCAAAATAAAAACACAGCTAAACGGTAAGCTAAGAAATAATATTACCGTCTGTACATTTCAACACATTTTAAAATGTACTTGATTCCTGTCATGCAGCACTAAATATTTTTTCCTAACCGTCATATAACCATTCAGAAATTGTTAAGTGCTGACAATTTGCCTTCACAGGACTTAAAAACATTTCAGTATTTTCTATTAGAAATGATCAGTAGAATATAGTAGTATATCATGCTGGAAATGTTTTATATAATTAATAATTAATTTTTACAATATTTATCATTGATTAAATTGAAAGAACTTTCATGACTTATTAGTGTTGTTATTTTTGTTTTATTTTATGTAATGGATGTTTTCTAAGAAACGGTTACGATTGCAAATAAAAGCTGAAAATGTATTCCCAGTATAGCTAATGGTGCTGATATTGCATTAATTAATTAGTAAGTAATTGAAATAAGTAAGTTAGGATATGTCATGCTGGATGTTGAGTAATAGTATTTCTTTATTATCTCCAGTAAAGGACGTTGTGGAGCAGACGGTGTGTATTGTCCAGAGCACCTGTGTGAACGTCCACAGCATGAGCGGGAAAGACTTCATATCTCCACTTCCCTTCCAGGTCAGAACGCACTACATCTGTGTTTCTCCACAGTACATCTGTCAAATGATGGACTCCTCAAATCTGCTTGAAGTGGCTCTATCAGTGTTTCCAGCAAAGCTATTGTCATCAGCAGAGTGTTTGTTCATGCCGTCAGGGATTTAGTCAGCTTCAATGTCTTTTTTAGCTCAGTGACTGATGATGTGCGCCAATTGTCTGTTTCATGAGGCTTAATGGGTTATTTGGCATGCAGACAGAAAGGGGGGGCGGTTCGGTTTTAGTAGCAGTATTTAGACAGCACAATTTACTGTTCTGGCTTTAATTTTACATGAGTAGATTCTGGAATGTCATCCTAGTAGCTTTTGCTAAGCATTTCCGACTTGTGCACTTTTTAAGTGGCAAAACGTGCGATTGGAATCATAAACTCTGAAACCGTGCTGTAATATTTTTCTAAATTGTTTCAACAATATGCAGGGCTCAACAATAAAGACTGCCCGGTGGTCCAGGGCCAGCGTGAGAGACGCATGGGACAGTAGACAGGATCATTACTGGCCCAATTGGGACAGTGCTGCCTTGTCACTAAAGTTAAATTTGCATGCAAATATTTTTTACATGGGAAGGACTTCTACAATAGGAAGAATCGCCGACAACTTTGTCCAAACTGATGTAGTTGCAACTAAAAACACGTTGTATATCTTTTGTAATCAACTACATAACGAGATAGAAGCCTTCAACGGTGTAGAAAATGTACATATTTGCTCACCTGTGTTTGAATTAGCAATTTCTCCTCAACTTTTTTTCTTTTTTTAACCCGGTTGTGATATTGCTCACATGACATGTCAAACAGACACAGTGCTCCTGCTAAATTTACACTAGTTTTTCCTCCATTTATTTCTTAGGTCCAAATATACTGAAAATAAGCCCTTTTAAATTCTCCCCCATCCTCCCGCTGGCCTGAAGATACCCACTGTAATAATGTTCACGGCCCTTTGGCCGCCGGGAAGGAGGAGGCGGAGAGCCGACACAGTTTTTAAATGATTTATTAATAACAGTGACGGCAGTTCCTCACGGAGGCTGCTGTCTAAACCAAAACAAACTGAAAGCAAAAGTAAAATGCCCGGGCCCGGTCCTCTCTCGGCTTCCTCTGCCATTGTTCCTCCTTTTATAGTCCAGAGCTCCTTCCGTGGGATTCGAGGCAGGTGCGCACCGCAAGTGTATCCACTTACGCGATGGCCTCACTCCGTTCCCACGGCTCTCAGCCACGCCCCCTCGCCACACCCACACTAGTGTATGCTGCTCTCTCATTGGCTGTTGGTGATCGCTGATGTTATTTTCAGTCAAAACTCATTTCACACAGCATGATTTGAGTCGCCGACAGCTCCAGATATTTACCATGCCAAATATGTCATGGGCGTCAGCGACTCCTTGGTGATTCTCTCAGATCGCGTTCTTGATAGTTCACACTGTGTGATTGTCACTTACGTGAGCGAGCACAGATTTGCTTGTGAATTTAGACATTAAGGGTGTCACGATCCTCCAAATCCTCGATTCGATTACATTTTCGATTCTAAAGTCACGGTTTGATTAGATTTTCGATTTAAAAAAGAAAAATTAAACAAAATTATAAACAAATCATACAGTAAATGAGTAATAAGTTACACACATAATTACCACCTGTCAATTACTTTTTCCGCAGGACTCGTGAATAGGCAGTGATCTGTGTCGTTATAATGGCGTCGGTAATAAAGTTGCACAACCAACAGGAACCAACCAACAGTATCTGAGGTGTTCGCTAAAATTACCAAGTACAAGTGAGTGAAAGATTGAAGCAGTCTGCTGAACCGCTGACTGCCTGGTCCCGCTCTCTCGATTTTCTTCGTCTAACGGCCCAACCCTAATACTTACAAAGCAGAGCTTGCAAACTGTGTTTTTTTTCGACAACACGAACGTTGTCAACATAACTCACTGGAAATCCAAAATACTTCCACACCGGCGACTTCATTGAAAGAGGAGAGGGTTTAAGTTCTGTGGACGTGACATGAGGGCGTGGCAGCATTGACGATTCCATTTTTTTGATTCGATAATCGAAATTGAGCATGAATTTCGATCGATTTAGATTTAAAATCAAAACCGTGACACCCTTATTAGACATTTGTCTGATATTTTTCAAAACCTGTCGGCAGGGCCGGCCCGTGGCATAGGCAGTATAGGCAAATCCTAAGGGTGCTGTACATCCAGGGGGGCGCCAGAAATGAGCGCGGTTAAGTTTGTTTTGTTTTTGATATTCCTGACGCATTCAGTGATATACGCCAATAACTCAAAAACCTCTTAGCCTAAAAAGATCTAAAGTGTGTTTCCTACAAAAAGACAAAGCTGGTTATGTTTCACAGCTGTCTTTTTCTTTTTTTTCCGCTCGACATTATGACCACTGCTCCGTTTAGCCGGGGATATGCGTTTAGCCGGGAGAGCTGAGCTACCGTCGGAAAAGTGCTTCTTTTTCTTTCGTTTTTTTTTTTTTTTTTGCTCAGTCCTGCGTGTTTTATTTTAAACAACCAATTTTCTCTTAAATGAGCACAAACAGTTACTACTGTAGTCGAATGCTTCATTCATTAATTCATTATAGATCTGTACATTCTTACATTAACACCTCTGTTATCAAACAAAACACAATGAGAGATTAATTTGCTGGTCCACTAAATAACTATAGTGACTTTAATCAATGTGCAAATACAATTAAAAGTCAAATAGATTTTATAGCTTTATTTAATTTCTGTATAGGCCATTGTTTTTAAAAGGCTAAACCTTTTATTTTATAGTCAATATTTTCTATTGTTTGCTATGTTTTCTATCATTTGAAGCTATTTGTTGTCCCATATTTTTTACATCCCAACGTTGACAGAGATGGTATAACATTGCTAATCAATAAATATCAATAATGCTATCTGTTAGTTTTAACGTCAGCTACTGTTATGGAAAGGCATAGATGTTATGGAAAATAGTAATAGTAATGTAACTACCCCATCATTACTTCCTCAAGCAAATGTGTAAATGTTAGATCTATTCAGCAATAATGTTAATTGCATTGGCATATTTATCTGACATTTTCCCAGCTTGTAGTAGTCGATCAAAAAGCTATTTAGTTTCTTATGACTATACACTAGCAGTGGAATTTACTGTGATGTGACGGGGCGCCACCTGAAATCTTGCCTAGGACGCCAAATTGGTTAGGGCCGGGTCTGCCTGTCGGCGAGTAAAAATCAGGGCTAAACTCATGCAGTCTGAACTCGGCATTAATTGTTTTATGTTAAATTCAATTTAATGTGCTGATTTAACTAAAAAGAAAAAGTCTGTTGGCGCCAGCATATAGCGCCATGGTGCTCACGACAACCCTAGTTCGTTCGTGCTTGTGGTCCTTTGCCAACCCTTCCCCTCTCTCTGCTCCCAATACTTTCCTGTATTTTCAATTTTTGAGTGAACTACGCCTTTAAGTTTTGAATTGTTTTAAACGTGGCGTCTCAGAATCATTTCAGTATTAGATGCATATTCTGAAAAGGCTACCATGTTTTCTGAGATGGATTTAAACCTGCTGTTGGAGACACAATTTTAGGACACTGAAATACAATGTGACCTACTGTTTAATGGCTCTATTGCGTTGGGATCTCTAAATAGACCATAGTAAATAGCACATGTTTCCTGTGTTGATAGTACAGTTAAAGGAAGTGTTAGAAATATGGAGTTTATTTTGAATGCCTAGTTACATTTCACACATCGTATATTTTCTGTCAGATGCAGACCTCTTATGTTTACTCTCTCATAATTTAATGGCTTCATTTGTAGGTTTCTGCACTCTGGCCAACAAAGTTTGGCCTACTTTTGGAGCGCAAAAATATAACAGTTGATGGCCACATGAGCCCCATCAGGTATGCTTGATTTACCTAGATATGTTTGGTTTAACGTGTAATTTACTCCAGCTATGCATTTGTCTGTTGTGAAAATGACTTCTCCATTGTAAAACTGCTCTTTAATGTGTTGATTCTTATCAGCAGGGAACCTCTCCCGACTTTGTTCAGCATGCTGCATCCATTAGATGAAATCGCTCCTGTTGTTTGTAAGTCCACCGGTAAGGATTAATAATTGTGTACCATATTATTTTATAACGTACTATTATGTACTTAATATAACTATTAAGTATGCAGTATTGAACATTTGAAGTGGATCAAAAATAGTTGTTGCTCAATGGTTTTAATTTTGATGAATGGTTTTGATGCATTTCAGATGTTGACTACTGTAGATTATTTTAGCTTTTTGTTTTATATTTTGTATTTCTTGTTTTCTTTTATTTAAATTTTTGTTAATTTTTTTTCTTTTTACCCAAACATATTTTGCCCCTTTTCTTTTTTTTAATTGTTTGTTTGTTTGTATTGAGTTTATTTTGTACATTTAAGTTGCAATCATTTTATCAGTTCAACTTGTTTTTTGACAAGATTATTTCTTTTTTTTTGTTTCTTTTTACCTGATGAATAGCTATTTTTATCTAATTGCATTTTACAAAAACACACTTTATACTTAAACAGTGAATGGTAGGATGAAAACATAGATTGTTGGTGCAATCAAGAAAATAATTTATAATATGACAAAAAAGGATGATGAGCTTGCAAGTTTTAGTTTAGTATTTCTTAATTGACAATTAGTGTAATTTAAATAATGTTGATAATCTGTTCTAAAATGACCTGCTTATCAACCAAAAGAGATGTAAAATTTATTTATTAATTTTTATTAATTTTATTTATCATTATTTATTTATTTTTTATTTATTTAGTGTTTTTATACGCCAAAAATTGATGCATATATTTACCAGATTTACCATGCATATATATAGTTTACAATTACCATGTCCATAAAACTATATTTAGGATTAATTAATTCATTCATATTTATTTTATTTTAAATTTTTTAAGTTTATTAAAAAATTTATTTTGTATTTTGTTTTTATTTACGCATTTCATTTTATTTGTATTATTATTATATTTAAATATATTTATTATTTATTTATTTTGTTTTTTACCTTCAAATGACATTTGTTGTTTGTTAAATACTTTATCTTTAAATTTATTTTTAATTTTTTGATTATTATTTGTTTATTTTTTATTAGATTTTTTAACATTTAATTTTTATATGTATATTTATTTATTATTGTTATTATTTTAAAAATATATTTATATTTATTTTTTTACTTACTCAAAAAAATGATGTTATGTTCAAACTACTTATTTAAAATGACCTGAAACCACACAGTTCTTGGGATTTATTTGGGGACAACTTAATTGTTTTATCTTCAATCCACTTAAATTTCTAAAAACGAATAAGTTAACATAATTCCTTCATGTTGTTGATTGTGTGGAGCCCAGCATTTTTTAACAGTGTATTTACTTGTTTATTTTTTCCTTTAGTTCCTTTAGCATCATATTCACTCTCAAAAACACGAGACACTCATGTCTCACATTTATGTTACGATTGCTGGAATATTTTACAGTCTGTCATCACACACATGATAGTCGTACATAAACAGGCCTCTATGCTTCTTGATTCAATCATGTTGCTAACGTCAGTAAGAGTCAGTCAGACTGTCCTTCTCATAATTTAATTTAAACTATATATAATATTGCATTTCCTAATAAAGCTGCAGGCCAAGCAGTCATAAAGCTGTTTTATTTACTTGGTAAAACCACACATTTAGCACTTGGAATGTATTGGAGCTTGTGAAAAGGATGTGAATGGCAACAATAATTTTGATCGTGATTTGTGTGTTTTGGTGCAACTCTCTGAGTGTTTTTTTTCACTGCAAAACTTATAACAATCACATTTTCGGTTAATCGGCAGTAAGCTTGTGGTTATTTGTTGTTCATTTAATTCAATTCGTCTTTACCTTTTACAAATGTTGAATTATATTCATAGGCTTTAAATCACATGAATGTCTATGCTATAAAAACAAGGCAATTTAATATGCTTTCACATTACTTCTGGAATTGGTCGAAAATGCATAACCTAAAAAAGGTATTTTATTGCTGTAGCGTTTTTTAACATATAGGGCTGTATTTTGACAATCCATGCGCAAAGTGCAAAGCGCAGGGTGCAAGTGCTTTAAGGTCGTGTCAGAATCCACTTTTGATAATATAAGGACGGAAAAATCCACTTTGCGCCGTGTCGCATGGTCTAAATGGGTTGAGCTTTTTTTCTTAATGAGTTATAGGTGTGTTTTGAGAATAAACCAATCAGAGTCTCATCTCCCATTCCCTTTAAGAGCCAGTTGCGTCGCGCCATAAGCGCATTTGCTATTTACATGATGACTTTGTCAGTGGAAAAACTGAACGCTTCAATAGCGAGAAAACAGTTAAACAGAGCATCTACAGCGCGAGAATGAGAGATAAGGCATCTTATAATATACTTTCGCTCTCGTGGATAGGGAAACCTTGTACGCACACATCAATTAGCCTATAATTAATTTTTTTTATTAAGTGCAAGGATTTGTTTCAAAACTTTTTCTAAATTCAGTTCTAATTTCCAGCAAACGAATAAATGAACAATAATAACGAAGTCAAAAACCTGAGTTATATCCTAAAACACATGCTGTGCCCCATATGGTCTAAAACCTGACAGGTGGGCAAAGCTAAGCTTGTTTTTAATAAAACAAATATAAATATGGATATAATAAATAATACTGCTAATAATAATAACATTATACAAAAGCAAATTGTTATGAATGAACTGAAAAAGCCTCCCGAGATGAAGAATGCATGAAGGCAGTGTTTTTTATATTTATGTAGGCTAGAAAATAATATGTTTTGTAATATTTTAATTCTTGATATTTATATATATATATATATATATATATATATATATATATATATATATATATATATATATATATATCCTTAATATTTGAATTATTTTTCATTTGTAAAGATGTTTGTGTATTGCTCTTGTGTGTATTAAGCAGTGTGTAAGTGAGGCGCATAACTAACGCGCTCTGCGCTGGACAATAGACTGACTTTGTTTTGGTCTATTGAAAAATCTATTATAGTTTCTCAAAATAGCACCGCGCCAGCAATGCGCCTCAGATTGCTTCCTTTTTAGACTAGAACGCCTATGGGCGCACATATGAGCACAAATGCATTTGCTATTTAAACTGCGTAGCGCAAAACATCAAAACGACTCTTGCGCCAAGCTGAAACTAGCAAACAACTATTGCGTCGCACCTTGCGCCACATTGCGCCGGGTGTATGATAGGGCCCATAGACTGTCAAAGCAGCTTAACATAGATGGAAAAAAAGAGAGTAAAAGCCATGATACTTCAAACATTCCAGCAATTCAGGCAGACAGGAGAGTAGTGCTGGTTTAGCTTTAGTTAAATTGAAACTCACCCAAAAATAAACATTTCTTCTAAGGATGCACGATATATCGGCGGCCATATCGTTATCGGCTTATAAATGCTATTTTTAGGGTTATCGTTATCAATCCCATGTCTAAATTGGGCCCATATTTTTAAGCGGATAAATTATGTAATTGTACAGACCTTTCTTCTTAATTTATTTACTTGGTGTGATAATCGTTGTTACCGTGCAATTTATACTTTTTCCTGGCTTCACAGCATTATATTTTGCTGATTTTGTGCACAGCCATGAGCTGTGGTGGCTTTCATACTTGTTGCGCTTGCCAGTTTACTTTTATCTGTAACAAGAGAGGGTAAATATACACTACCTGACAAAAGTCTTGTCTTCGATCCCAGTTTTAAGAGCAAGAAATAATAACTTGACTTTTTGTTCATCATTTGGAAAAAGTGGCAGAAGGTGGATTTTTCTGATGAATCATCTGTTGAGCTGCATCCCAATCATCACAAATACTGCAGAAGACCTATTGGAACCAGCATGGACCCAAGATTCCTATAGAAATCAGTCAAGTTTGGTGAAGGAAAAATCATGGTTTGGGGTCACATTCAGTATGGGGGCGTGCGAGAGATCTGCAGAGTGGATGGCAACATCAACAGCCTGAGGTATCAAGACATTTGTGCTGCCCATTACATTACAAACCACAGGAGAGGGCAAATTCTTCAGCAGGATAGTGCTGCTTCTCATACTTCAGCCTCCACATCAAAGCTCCTGAAAGCAAAGAAGGTCAAGGTGCTCCAGGATTGGCCAGCCCAGTCACCAGACATGAACATTATTGAGCATGTCTGGGGTAAGATGAAGGAGGCATTGAAGATTAATCTAAATAATCTTGATGAACTCTGGGAGTCCTGCAGGAACGCTTTCTTTGCCATTCCAGATGACTTTATTAATCAGTGATTTGAGTCATTGCAGAGATGTATGGATGCAGTCCTCCAATCTCATGATGGAGTCAGACACAATAATCATTCTGTCTCCACTGCAGCATGACTTTATATTCTATACTGGACATTATTTCTGTTCAGTGACAAGACTTTTGTCTAAGCAAAGTCAGACCTTACTGCCCTAATGAAATCATTAAAAATCAAGACATGATCATATTTAATTTTGGTAAATAAGCGTAATCTAGAGGCCTTTACCTTTCATTTAAGCCACTTTTGATACCAAATGATCAGATAGAATAAGAATAGTCAAGTTATTATTTGTTGTTCCTAAAACTTGGACAAGCGACACGCCTTTTGTCAGGTAGTGTATATAAAGCCAGCTGCATTCTTAATGCAAAACCTTTTAAATTCAATAATTTACTAAAATCTTGGATAACCTGTGCAGAAAATATATGTATTGTTGTTCAAAGCTGAAAGAACAGATCCCTAAAATGCCTGTTTTATTCAATGTTTGACAATCTTAACTAATGTAAACGGGGCCGATGTGTCATTTGTCAATGCTCTTGTTGCTCTCACTCATTGGTGCAGGTCTGTTTGAAACCCGGCTCCAGTATGTTTCAGACAGCGCTCTGAGAGTGGTGTTCACCTGCCTCAAACCCTCCATTATCATGACCTACGACACACAGCAGTGCACACACACCGTCTGGAATCTGCGCAAAGTCACATCTGAGGTACGTTTAATGCAGTCTTCAGCCCAATTCACATTGCAATGACAGATGCCAACCAACAAATCATCGGAACTTCCAAAGTTTCCAGATATTGTGTTTAGTGTGCAATATAAGTTTTTGTGAAATGTTTTCAATGTTTAGAGTTGCAATGCATTGTGGGACTTCTCAGGACACTGAACGAATTTTCTGATTGAGACAGCAGTTAAAACGGCTGACTCCCTCATCAGTGCGCTGACTACTAAACAAGAGTGCTGATTGAGACACACTCCTAGACTTGTTTGGAGCCTAAAGCCCTGTGTGTGTGTTTTATTTCAGGAGCAGAACACTGTGTTAAAGTTTCCAGATCAGTCTGGACCGGCTCACACTCCTAATGCGGCTCCCAGTTTCCTCAGCACACACCTGAGAAACGTGAACCGGCTGGACTCTCCGGCTTCACCTTTACACTGCCATGCTCTTCACAACCAAAGCCGAATCCCAGCCTCCCCGGCCCTGCACTCTCGGGTTCACTCGCCCAGCATTTCCAACATGGCTGCTCTCAGGTATGACAATGCATCAATATTGGCTATGAATGGTGTTTTTTTACATATTGTGCACAGAAATCGCAATTCAAAAATTTTATTGAAAAAATATATAATCATAAATCAAAGAATATGAAAAATATAAAGCAGCACAATTGTTTTTTATTATATTATATTATATTATGTTATGTTATGTTATGTTATACTATATTATGTTATATTATGTTATATTATTTTATTTTACATCATCATATATTGTATAATATTGTATTATATTATTTCATATATTATATTATATTATATTATATTATATTATATTATATTATATTATATTATATTATATTATATTATATTATTTTATATATTTTTTATGTTAATTATATTATATTATTTTATGTTATATTATATTATAACATATTTAGTGCAAAACTAAAACAAAAAACTAATTAATCACACTTTTTTTTTTTTTTGCAATTAATCGCAATTAATCACATTTAAAAGACCGAAAGTTATAATTTTGGCTATAATTTTGAATTTTTTCAAATGTAAAATTAATGTAAACGCAAGACAAAAACTATTTAAATTCAAACTATAATTGTTCATTAGAATTTTTGTTTATTTTGTAACACCGATTTCTTCAACATACCCACAATAAACCATCAAGATTCTGGCTTGAGTGCCATATTTATTACAGAAATAAAAACTCAGGCATGTTAATGCCATTTGAATTGAAAAACAATGGCAATAACAAACAAAAATGATTTCCATGTTGGATTCAAAGTGAACTGCAGAAAATGTCAAAACACAGGCTTTGCAAATATAGAAAATTGTAATAATAATAAAGTATTGAATACAAACAGTTGCACTCATTGAAAAGTTGTATTGCTGTGTGTTGAGAACATTTATTATTAAGCAGAAACAATTTAGCTTAGTCCTCCTTTACATTCAGCCTGTTGCTGAGACAGTCCAGTCTGTTGACATTATCGGGGGACAATGTGGCCCTTTTGTTTTGAATGATGTGAGCCGAGAGTGAGAACAGGCAGGATTACTGAATCAGCATATGCATTCGGTACCTAATTTTGTGACCACTGGTGCTGCGAAAAGGACGTAAGAAGCATCAAGCGTTAGCCTACATCAAAGGGACAAACAGGTACGCGTTGTGCGCGCTTTGCTGTGACACACACACACACACACACACAAAACGTGCGCAGGACAGCGCAGCCGGAGCGACTCCCTTCAGATTCAACGCACATGATCGCGTTCATCAAATTTGCTTAAACTAAGCGTTCTAAAGTATGGCTGTATTTCATAAGGATTCTGACACATCAACGTGAAGCAGACGCTTTACAAAACTTGTGTTAAAGTGGGAAAAACTTAATGAAACATTGGAGGGCTCATGCTGAAAGGAAAAGGAATGCGCTGACTTTGACAGCTTGCAACATCATCTGGCCCTTTCTAAGTACCTTTACATGGACACCAATATTCCGATTTTAATATGACTAAGTTAGAACTCTTATTAGAAGTCTACCATGTAAACAGCAATTTTTGATAACCTTAAAGGGTGAAATGCGGAGGTTTTTATTTCCGTTCACCATGTGGTATCAAATTCCATTAAAACAAAAGTCGAAAGTTAAAAATGAAACATAGGATATTAGATGAAACTCTGGAGGAAACGCTGACTAGCCTGGTAAGTGCTTCCTTGGTCTTATTCATATTTCTTTGCATGTTGAACACACTTCGACCACAACAGGAAAAAAACTGCAACTGTGTTAATTACGTTAAATATTTCAAATTATTTGCATGCGTTAACGCACTTAATTTGACAGCACTAATTATATTGTATTATATTATATTATATTATATTATATTATATTATATTATATTATATTATATTATATTATATTAGATTATATTAGATTATATTAGATTACAGTATATTATGTTATATTATTTTACCTTATATTATAATGTATTATACTTTTTATTTTATTATGTTATTGTATTATGTTATGTTATATTATTTTGTTATATTATGTTATATTGTTATATTATGTTATGTTTTATTATATGGTTATTATGTTATATTGTTATATTATGTTATGTTTTATTATATTGTTATATTATGTTATATTGTTATATTATATTATATTTTATTATATTGTTATATTATGTTGTTAAATTATGTTATGTTTTATTATATTGTTATATTATGTTATGTCGTAAAAATATCTAAATTTAAATGTCTCATTTTTTTCCTTTTTCTTTTTAAACATTTTTATTTGCCTGACTTTCTAAAGTCGTGCTCATTCCCCTGGCATCGCCGTGCCCTCGTTCTCTGGGAATCAGCGTTTCAACATGTCATGCCACACGCCATCTTCGCGTGGCCACAGCATCCTGGCTTCACCCAACAGCACCCTGAATGACACCCTGCTGCCTGAGATGGAGCCCATCTTACCAGACCTCTGCATCGAGCAGCTGTGGACGGAAACCAGCGCCATCTCCAGGTCTGATGAGCTTCAGTGTGCTGTCAGAGAGTATTAAATTACCTTCTATGACTGTCCTGAATTCAATAACCATGTTTCCATCCACCTGTTTTTTTTTTTTTTTGCACATTTGACATATTGCATTAAAAAAAGATTAATGTTGGGGCAATAGCCTAGTGGTTCGCGCGATGATCTATGGTGCGGTAGCACTTCAGGCTGTCCAGAGTTCAAATCACGGCTCAAGGACATTTCCCGAACCTCAACCCCCTCCACAACAACCCCCCTCTCTCCCCCACTGCACTTCCAGTCTGATTACTGTCTTATCTAATAAAGGCAAAAAGGCCAATAATAAATCTTTTAAATAAAATGCTTAATGGAAACCATTAGATGTGCATACATTTTGAAAATGCGTATGAAAGAAAATGTATGCATGCACACTACTAAGTAGGATCAACTTTTTATTCGATAACCAAATACGAGCAAAAGCTTTGATGGAAACACATTTATGATCTTAAAAATGGGTGTGATGTATTAAGGTGTGAGGCATTAATGGTCAAACCAGTGGAGCGAGCACATTGTAGAACATCTGAAACATTGTTTTGGTCATTCTGAAATCCCTCAGCCAAAGTCTGTCATCACTGTGGTTCAGAATTATCATTGTCTTAGGCAAGGCAATTTTATTTTTATAGCCCATTTCATACACAGTGGCAGTTCAAAGTGCTTTACATAAACAGGAATAAAAAATAATAAAACCAACAAAACAAATAATATAAACAGATAAAAACAGTGTTAAGACAGTTTTTTCATACAAAACACTGGTGTATCATATTTTCCCATTTTATTTTCATTATACCTCTACATATTCCTCCAGAACTAATAATCGTAGGAACTAATTACTGATTTTGATTGTAATGCATTAATGTGCACCGTTTAAAAGCGGCTTTGGAACAGTAATTATTTTGATAAGCACTATACAAATAAATAGAATTAAATTGAAAGAACTAGAATATGGCTGGGGGAGAGGCAGTGGCGCAGTAGGTAGTGCTGTCGCCTCACAGCAAGAAGGTTGCTGGGTCACTGGTTCGAACCTTGGCTCAGTTGGTGTTTCTGTGTGGAGTTTGCATGTTCTCCCTGCCTTCGCGTGGGTTTCCTCCGGGTGCTCCGGTTTCCCCCACAGTCCAAAGACATGCAGTACAGGTGAATTGGGTAGGCTAAATTGTCCGTAGTGTATGAGTGTGTGTGTGAATGTGTGTGTGGATGTTTCCCAGAGATGGGTTGCGGCTGGAAGGGCATCCGCTGCGTAAAAACTTGCTGGATAAGTTGGCGGTTCATTCCACTGTGCCGACCCCAGATTAATAAAGGGACTAAGCCGACAAGAAAATGAATGAATGAATGAATGAATGAATAGGGCTGCACAATACTGGGGAAAAACTGATATTTAGTTTTTCTGTGATATGCATTGCTATCTAGGAACCACAGTCTAAAATAGATCCGATCAGATTTGTGGAGTCACTGCAGAGTTTAACCACAATGGAGTAACTGACTGCTGTGTGATCATTTTAGGACATTTTAAAGCAATTATCTTTCAGATGAGACGTTAAAAGGGGGTCCTGACTCTCTGTGGTCATTAAAAATCCCATGGCACTTCTCGTAAAGAGTAGGGGTGTAACCCCGGTGTCCTGGCCAAATTGTCTCAATTGGCTCTATCACTGTCTCTCCACTCCACCAATAGCTGGTGTGTGGTAAGCGCACTAGTGCCGTAGCTTTCGGCTGCCGTTGCATCATCCAATGGATTATAATTACAAATTACATTTTATTCCACCACAAGAAATCGTATGTAAAATGTATTTAATTGAATTATTTATACAGGGATGACTAAACCGTGTAATTTTATCACCATAAAGCACTGATTATTTCACTTTTGTCTTTATTCCTTCCTTAGAGAATCATCCCAATCAATCTAATTGAACAACTTTCTTACGAAAAGAGCTATTCAAGCCATCTGCTGAACTTGAATTCATATCACTATAATCCCAACTCAACATTGCCGATGTGCAGATTGAGATATTACTGCTGAAACGATATATTATGCAGACCTAGTCTTGTGCGTCTGCACTCCCAAAGAGCGTCTCACGCCTCCAAAAGCCACTGTGCGTTCATTGCATTTCATCTTCTGAGGTACAAATACTTCATTTTATAAGGGAAAAAGGCTTCTCCTACTGCAGCCAAATCCATTTTTTGTTTTTATATTTGGGACCAGTTTATCAGGAAATGATGATTCTGTTCTCTTTGACTCACTCAAAGAAAGCATTGCTTTATTCGCTAATGTTTTATGCAATGTTTCAGTTTTGAGCTTCAGTTTGATTTGCATCTTTGGATGGAAACACAGCAAGTATTTTGTGTGTGTGTGTGCGTGTGTGTGTGCGTGTGTGTGTGCGTGTGTGTGTGCGTGTGTGTGTGCGTGTGTGTGTGCGTGTGTGTGTGCGTGTGTGTGTGCGTGCGTGTGTGTGTGCGTGTGTGTGTGCGTGTGTGTGTGCGTGTGTGTGTGTGCGTGTGTGTGTGTGCGTGTGTGTGTGTGTGTGTGTGTGTGTGTGTGCGTGCGCGCGCGCTTGTGTGTGTGCGCGCTTGTGTGTGTGCTTGTGTGTGCGTGTGTTTGCTTGTGTGTGTGTGTGTGTATGTGTGTGTGTGTGCTTGTGTTTGTGTGTGTGTGTGTGTGCTTGTGTTTGTGTGTGTGTTTGTGTGTGTGTGCTTGTGTTTGTGTGTGTGTGTGCTTGTGTGTGTGTGTGTGCTTGTGTTTGTGTGTGTGCTTGTGTTTGTGTGTGTGCTTGTGTGTGTGTGTGTGTGTGTGTGTGTGTGTGTGTGTGTGTGTGTGTGTGTGCGCTTGTGTGTGTGTGTGTGCTTGTGTGTGTGTGCTTGTGCGTGCGCGTGCTACAGGGAGAAAGGCTGCCAGGCGTCTAAAGTCTTCATCACCTCTGATCTGTGTGAAAACCGGTACCTGTGCTTCCTGGTCGAGTCCCATCAGCAGCTCAGGTGAACTTTTTTTGGTTTTAGACATGTTTTTAGCATGGTGTCCTTGCACATTTAAGTAAGTGTTTCTGCTGGGTTCAAGTAGGTCTTTTTTCAAGATCAAAATTTAAGGTTTTGTTAAGTAAATATATAAATAAATAAACTGCAATATACACTAACTGGCCACTTTATTGGGTACACCTTACTAGTAACGATTTATACCTCCTTTTGCCTTCAGAACTGCCTTAATACTTCTTGGTATAGATTCAACAAGCTACTGGAAATATTCCTTAGAGATTTTGCTCAATATTGACATGATAGCATCACACAGTTGCTGCAGGTATCTCCCCTGCACATCCATGATGCGAATCTCGTGTTCCACCACATGCCAAAGGTGCTCTATTGGATTGAGTTCTGGTGACTGTGGAGGCCATGTGAGTACAGTGAACTCATTGTCATGTTCAAGAAACCAGTCTGAGATAATTTACTCTTTATGATATAGCGTGTTATCCTGCTGGAAGTAGCCATCAGAAGATGGGTACACTGGTCATAAAAGGATGGACATGATCAGAAACCATACTCGGGTAGACTGTGGCGTTGACACGATGCTCAATTGGTACTAATAAGCCCAAAGTGTGCCAAAAAATATCCCCGACACCATCACACCACCACCAACCAATCACCAGCCTGAACCGTTGATACAAGGCAGGATGGATCCCTGCTTTCATGTTGATGATGCTAAATTCTAACCCTACCATCTGAATGTCTTTTTCGGACCATTCTCGGTTACTCCTAGAGATGGTTGTGCGTGAAAATCCCAGTAGATCAGCAGTTTCCGAAATACTTAGACCAGCCTGTCTGGCACCAACAACCATGCTACGTTCAAAGTCGCTTAAAACATCTTTCTTCCCCATTCTGGTGCTCGGTTTGACCTGCAGCAGATCGTCTTGATCATGTCTACAAATGCATTGAGTTGCTGCCATGTGATTGGCAGATAAGAAATTTGCATAAAGGGCAGTTGGACAGGTGTACCTAATAAAGTGGCCAGTAAGTGTAGTATTCCGTATCATTACTAGAAAAAAAAAACCAAGATTAGATGGTTATCTATGTAGGCTATATTTTGGTTCCTGTTGACTGCTAATTAAAAATAAAAGCATTTGGCTGGAAGCTTGAGTCCGCAACTCCTCTGGCTCCATCAGGCAGCCCATACCCAGGCTCCAATTTCAGCAGTCTTTTGCAACGGTTTGTGCCTGTCACGAGGCATTTTGCCCTCAAAGCGTTCAATGGGAAACGTCGCTGGCAGTCATTGGGCGACACACAGGCATTTGTAGCTCCACCTTCTTTTGAAAAGAGCACAGTTTCATTAAAATTTAAAGTAACAGTGACCAAAATGCCTCAATTGACATTATTATGGAGTATTTTGAGCTGAAACGTCACATACCTTAAAATAAAAAACCTCAATCAACTTGCTTGCCTTTTGCAGGTGTGTAAAATTTCTTGAGAGCAATGAAACGTCTCAACTGATCTTTGCAACGGTTTCCACCATCGCTGCAAAAGATGCCGCTCCTCTAGAGGTGAGTAGTTGACAATAGCCCCTTTCACACAGTGATACCGGTAAATATCCGGAAAATTTACGGAACGACTTTACCGGTATATACAAAAAAGCGCTGTTCACACAGGCGAGGACGTTACGGAAATTTTCCGGAAAAGAGCATTCACACATCCATTCCAAAATACCGGTAAATTCTGACATCATTCACCACAAATGAGCTTTAAATGGCTGCGCTTGTATTTGTAAACATTTGACTAAATTACAAACTCTTTTGATGATCAATATTGTAAACAACTTTCACAGGATCATATTCGCATGTCGAGATGTTCATAATATGTGCGTGTGGTGGCGCTCACAGGCTGTTTCATGGGCACACGCAAAGCTTGAAGGTAAACAAACAACGGCTTATCATAAGCATCTCATCGATGATTATTTGCACAGTTGGCATTAAGAAGAACATATAAACGTGATCTGACTAACTTCTAGCAGCTAAATGTGTCTGGAAAAATATTCAAAGGCTTTTATTCTCACAAACCGTGTGAACGTAAATGCGTCTGACTGTTGTGGTTGGCTAAAGCAGACGTCTCATGTCAGCACGTTTTAGACGTGCACGCGCTTATTACGGTAATCTTCCTTCTGCATTCACACAGCGCAGCATTCCGGCAAATTGCCGGTAATGTTACAACTTCTCTTTCTGGAAAATAGCCAGAACGAATTTACCGGTATTTTCAAAAAGGACCTGTTCACACATACAACCTTTCCGGAAAATTGCCGGTAATTTTCCGGAAAGGTCTGTATGTGTGAAAGGGGCTATTGTATACATTGAAGTTTATTTATATTTATAAAATTAAATATTTATATCTAATACAAATTATAAATAACTTAATATTAGTATTTATAAGTATATATCAAATATTTATTTATTTTTTTAGTATTTTTATATTTTAGATGTGGTTTCAATCGTTTGACAGCACTAGTTTCGTTCTATACTCATATTATTGTGCACAATTCATCTGCGCTCTTTAAACGTTTTTGAAAGTTATTCACGTTAAAAGTTTCCATGCGATAAATTGAAAAATCAATGTAAATGGCTAATGCAATTTCCACGCAGAGTCTTGTTTCACCAAATTCATTGAGATCAGATCTTTCTGCTTCCTACAACAATAAGTAATTTACACTGTTTAATTAATCGTGACTGCCATCAGCTGTAAAGTGTTGTTGTCTTTTCCTCAGCTGTCGTCATCAGGAGATCAATTTTCCTCTTATTTATTTTGTGTTTTTGTGAAAGGACATTCACACAATGCTGGTGCTGGAGGCCAATGGGAGTCTGGTGTTGTACACAGGAGTCACCAGGGTAAGTCTTGATTTGCGTGTGTTTTTCACCTCCCAATTGACATTATTAGTGGCCTGAATCCTTTTTCCACTTTCAGCTGCTTTATTTGCGCCTCACGATGCTGTGTCCGCCATGCATAGTTCTCTTTTTATTAAAAAAAAGCCAAAGGCATCCGCGTATTACAATTTGCACTTAGAGCGCAGCACCGGGTCTAATACATCACCCCATTCCATCATGTTTTCCACCAATCACCAGAGATTTGAAAATTGGTTCCAGGTGAGTCACTCGCATCTGGATGAGAGATTGTCATTAGTGCAGTGGAGACAGAGAGAGAGAGAGAGATGCTGGGGATTCTTTACAGACATACAGGCATGTCTGCTTTATACAGTTATATTCTTATCATTTATTAATGAAATAAGATGGTGCTTACAAGATGTATGATTGATGCATAAAAAGGCTATTTCTCTCCAGCAGTGCTGATGCTGTGTGTTTCAGACGTAGGTGACTCACCTTCAACCAATTTTCTAGGTCTTATTCTCTTTTACTAGATATTTTTAGACACTAGTATTCAGCTTAAAGTGACATTTAAAAGCTTAACTAGGTTAATTAGGCAGGTAAGGGTAATTAGGCAAGTCATTGTATAACAATGGTTTGGTTTGTTCTGTAGACAATGGAAAATATTGCTTAAGAGGGCTTATAATATTGACCTTAAAATGGTTTTAAAAAGTTTAAAAACTGCTTTTATTCTAGCCAAAATAAAACAAATAAGACTTTTTCCAGAAGAAAACATATTATAGGAAATACTAGGAAAAATTCCTGAATCTGTTATACATCATTTGGGAAATATTTGGGGAAAAGAAAACAAAATACAAAGGAGAGTGAATAATTGTGACATATATACTATTTTATGTCAGCTTATGAACAAAATGTTTATAGTTAAAGCTTCTATATTCAGTTTATATATATTTCTCAGAATTTCTAAGTATTTTAAAGCTGCTGTATGTAAGTTTTTGACTCTTCTAAAGCATAAAAATACCATAGTATGTTTGCAGTATTTCAGAAACATGCTAAGTGAACATTCTTGTTTGTCTAAAAAGCAATGCTGAAGTCAGATATTCTGCTTTGAAAATGTGTGTGTTATGTGCTGGAACGTCTGTCTTGTTGTGGTCATTTTAACCCTCCCAATGCCACTTCAGCCAATTATTTTCCTGCACCCCGGGTTGCCATCATTGAAAACAGCATATTTCATTCAATAAGGCCCTGTTTAGACTAATGCGTTTTAGTTTGAAAACGCATACGTTTTGCTACGGTTACGCCATCCGTCCACACTACGCCGGAGCTCCGAAAACGGATCGTTTTGGAAACCCTGGGGAGGCCGTTTTCATTCTGAAACGCTGCTGCTCCGTCTCAGTGTGGATGAGGGAAAACGGAGACATCTGAAAACGGAGGCGGGACTGCTGAGATTCGCTACCTGATTGGGGCTTTTGTGTCATTGTGTATTCTTCCCTTATTCTTCAAGCCCCTATCACATGATTATAACAAATGGCTTTAACAATACCGGAAGACAGTACTGTAAACAACAACATGGACACAGAAATGGGAGCGTTGTTTGCACTATTGTCTGTTTTAGGTTCCATTGTGCAGTTATTCATTTGTTACGTTTAGTAACAACTCAACCTCGTCGTCTGTCCACAAAAATACCTCTCTTGCTTTCTTTGCCATCGCGTTCATTGTTTGACCAGTGTTTGTTGAGTAACAATAAACAAATGCCGAGCGAGACACATGCTTCCTGTTTATACTAGAACGAGCATGCCCAGAGTGCGAGAATGGTCACGTGATATACATTTTGGTGGCGTAGTGTGGACGGAGATATGTTCAGAGATGCTAGGTGAAATGCTAGTGTGGACGCGGATCGTTTTTGATCTAAATCGCCATTTTAAAACTAAAATGCACTAGTGTAAAGGGGGCCTCAGTCAGGAAGGCTATCAAAGTATGCGTCCGTGACTATAATGGGACCTCTGGTGGACAGTAGCAGCTTTCCAGTTCCACATGAGTTGGTTATTAATTAGCAAATAATATAAATATAACGAACGTAAACATTAGGTGAGCAGGTTATATTAACTCCGTGTCCTAACAGCACACTATGTGATGAGATTTGCAGTGATGAGCAATTTGGCTGTTTGCACCAACTGAAACACGACAGAAATTTAAATGCAGCCATTCAGAAGCACAGAATTGTGCACTGGTAAAGTTTATAATACACATTAAACCTCTTTAACATTAAATGTAGATGCTGAATTGCTGATATGTGCATTTTTTCACAGTTCTAAAGTTCAATTTCAAACAATTTATTTTATTTTCAATGATAAATTACTTTGAGCCCCACTTTGAGAACCACTGCATTAAACAATGAAATCAGTCAAAAATGTCATTGTTAATATGTAGAAGCTTGTGTGCATGTCAGCTTATGAACAAAATATTTTATTTAAAGATTGTACTTTATTTATATATATATATATATATATATATATATATATATATATATATATATATATATATATATATATATATATATATATATATATAGTTTATATACATTCCCAAATTTTCTCAAATTTACTATAGAAGATCTCTGGAAATTTACTGGAAACTTTACTATAGATATGATATTAGGCTTTTATCTGTGTTAAAATGTCACAAAACACGATTATTTTTTCCAACCATCTTCCAAATAATTCAGTTCCACCCATCTGGTAACACAAAACCATCATGTTGTATTTATTTATTTATTTGAATGTGTGTGCAGGTCAGCAAGGTGTTTGTCCCTGGCCTTCTGTCTCCTACATTCAGCGTGCCGAACCAGCCGCCAATATTGAGCACACCTCTGGAAAACATCAGCACTCCGGCCCGAGCCACAGTTCAGCATATGAGCCGTCTGGAGGAGGTGTGTGTGTATGTGTGTGTGTGTGTGTGTGTGTGTGTTACATTCAGCCAATTACCTAACCACTAATTGAGTCATATATGTAAGACAAGACAGCATTCTTCGAGACGACTCTTCATATTATGTCCTAATGCTAATGGCCATCCGCTCGGTTCCTACAAATGGATCGATATCAGTATTAAATCACAGTAATAATGGCCAGCTGCGTTATTTTTCTTCTTAAACAACAAAAACAACTCTGGGGCCCCCGGTTGGCTTGATAATCTAATTTAGTGAGAATGAGATCAAGTATAGAGTATTTGATTGATCGTATGCTTAATAAATTATTAATCAAACCCCAGTGTATTTGTGGATATTGTGTTAGTGCTTTTATAGCCACCATTTAAGGATTGCGCCATTGATAAAAGCTTCTCCGGCCCTTGCTAACGTTCACAATGTTTTTTTTAATTTATTCAGTTCTGATGTCCAGTTCTATATTAAGGGTAGATGATGTAGATGTCACTTCTGATACCAAATGATCAACTAGAAGTCGAGTTTTGACAAGACTTTTGTCAGGTAGTGTAAGTCTTTTATCTCCCTAATAATTCTTTGAAACTGCCTCTTTTAGGCTTTGATCTGAATTGTGATCCAAATTTGGGTACTATCACTTTAATTTTAAATAAGATTGTGCTCTTTTTAAAAGAGGGCGAAGCTACAAATGCCTGTGTGTCAGCATAGTGGCAGATTTATAACAAGAGTAATGCTATCTTTGTTTAAAACTGAAAGATTTGTCTCAAAACTGTTAATGTTGAGGTATTGTGTTTGTTTTACAGTATACATGTATAGTTCAAGACAAAAGTATTAGCCTACTATGAAACTTAAAATATTTTCTAAATTCTTATTAAGTGCTGCTTAACAGAACGAAAAGTCCCCTCACCAACACATTTGTAAACATAATAGTTCAAAGTTTGCATGAACCAAAAGCTGCGACCATGTCTTGGAGGGGAGAGGTGTCCAACCTACAGCATCTAAACACTGGGATACCTCAAGGCTCTGTTCTTGGGCCACTTCTCTTCTCTATCTACACATCATCTCTAGGACCAGTCATCCAGAGACATGGATTCTCCTACCACTGCTATGCTGATGATACCCAGCTATACCTCTCTTTTCATCCTGATGATCCCTCGGTTCCAGCTCGTATCTCAGCCTGCCTGTTGGATATTTCACACTGGATGAAAGATCATCATCTTCAGCTGAACCTCGCAAAAACGGAAATGCTTGTAGTTTCTGCCAACTCGACTCTACACCATAACTTTTCAATCCAGATGGATGGGGCAACCATTACTGCATCCAAAATGGTGAAAAGCCTTGGAGTAACGATTGATGACCAACTAAACTTCTCTGACCACATTTCTAGAACTGCTCGATCATGCAGATTCGCACTCTATAACATCAGAAAGATCCGACCCTTCTTATCTGAACATGCAGCTCAACTCCTTGTTCAAGCTCTTGTTCTCTCCAAACTGGATTACTGCAACTCTCTACTAGCTGGGCTTCCAGCTAACTCTATCAAGCCTCTTCAACTGCTCCAGAATGCAGCAGCACGAGTGGTCTTCAATGAACCTAAACGAGCACATGTCACTCCGCTGCTAGTCCGTTTGCACTGGCTGCCAGTTGCTGCTCGCATCAAATTCAAAGCTCTGATGTTTGCCTACAAAGTGACTTCTGGCCTTGCTCCTTCTTATCTGCTCTCACTTCTGCAGATCTATGTGCCCTCCAGAAACTTGCGTTCTGTGAATGAACGTCGCCTCGTGGTTCCATCCCAAAGAGGGAAGAAATCACTTTCGCTCACACTCACGCTCAATCTGCCCAGTTGGTGGAATGAACTCCCTAACTGCATCAGAACAGCAGAGTCACTCGCTACTTTCAAGAAACGACTAAAAACTCAACTATTTAGTCTCCACTTCACTTCCTAATCGGCAATTGCCTCTCTGAATATCACACTAACTGTACAAAAAAAAAAAAAAAAATACTAATACTACTAATACTTCCCTTCTTAGACTTTACAGACCTGAAACTTGCCTACAGCACTTATTCATTGTTGCTCTTAGTTGTGTAAATTTGCTTCCTTGTCCTCATTTGTAAGTCGCTTTGGATAAAAGCGTCTGCTAAATGACTAAATGTAAAGGTAAATGTAAATGTATTTTCGTATTGAGATGCAATTCCTAGAGAAACTCAATATTAAATGAGAAAACAGTGGGCGGGGCTTGTTTTTTACTGTGAGCTGATTGGACGCAGGCAGTTCATTCAGAAATATCTGGAAAATGGTTTGGGGAGAGTTCTTATAACCTAACAGACTCCTCGTCCTCACCATTTCTGTTTGTTGACAAAACTCACACCTGGAGGTGCGTTGTTACGTATGTTAGCCACACCCAATACCTTAGACAGAGGTAATCTGAGAATTCAACTGAAAACAAACAGGAAGTGCATTTTCAGATTTTAATTAAATGGCTAACAATTATTTTTTCTTAATGACATGCTCAGATGAATTGTTCACCACAAAACTAGCAATGCGAGCTAACAAATATGGCTAGTTTTGATTTCATTTATACTTTAACATTTTTTCTAATCTCTAGTTTCTTTTGCCCTCGTCCTGATGACAGTACACAGTATTTTACTCAATATTGTACTCGATACTTCTGTTTCCTCTGTGTTAATAATTTTGTCTTCATCTCAGGTTGGCATGCCGTCTCCTGTGCTGGAGATGCGCAGCTCGTTGCAGCACAATGAGTCCTCATGGCTGGAAGAGTCTCCATTTCAGCAAACTGCTCCTCGTATTCAGACCCTCCGAGACCCCGTCTGCAACAGAGTCACACTGGTCAGTGCAGTCTGCCACTTCTCGACATCTCTCAGCTTTGATGCTCCTGATATAAGTGCAACAGAAGCCATACAGTCCTTTAGGGCTTTGTTGGTATGGCTAGTGTGTTTGGTGTTAATGTCGGAGTCCGTTGGCCTGATTTAGTGTGTAGAATGGGTGTTAGTTGTTGACTGAGGAGAGAGTGCTCTGGTTGGTTATTCAGCAATGAATCAGAGAGTAAGTGTGACGTAGCTAGTTAACAATTCAAGCCAAGATGGAACGCTAGTCTAAAAAATGCTACTTGATTTATTCATTTTTGGATATTTGGACTAAAAACAAGACAAGAAAATTTACAAAAGAAAAGGATTTTTTGCAGTGTAAAATCCCATCTTTTTACCTGACACAAACAAAACAAAACCAGCACCCTCTTCCTTTCCCCACCAGTTTCTGAAGTGTGCTTTACACAGGTGAGTGGGCTTGACAAACCACCTGTAAAAACACTCTTTTCTCTCTCTGTCTCTATAAAAATAAACACGTGTTTATGACGTATGTACTACTGTTTCCGGGTCTAAGCAGCCACTCATTTGAGTTGAGAAACTATTTGTTTATGATCGATCTTATTAATTCATATCAAACATTAAAGTTAATTTTATATAAAGTCATAGTGTACACAACAATCTCTGGGCTTGCTGCATCACAAATACCAAAATATTAACAATTAATAAAAAAATGAATGACTTTCTGGCCATCAGATATTAGGCATGGACATATATATTACGATCGTGTTTTTCAAAAGTATTATATAAAAGTATTATGTCTGTTACAAAAATCTCATGCTCTGAACTCCTCCATGACCACCACAGCAGCTGCTCAGGATACAGCCTGGTCCAGGATATGGAAACCTTGGGATCCTCTCGTCGCTGGTCTTGGATAAAATCAGTGGTGCTGCATAGTCTGAGGGCCCCGGGATGAGTAGCCCCAGGTGGAAATAGAGAATAAAGAGAACAATTAGCATAGCTGCTGTTCAAAGTGTATATAAACGAGATCAAGAAAACTGTGTGGAGCACATCCATGTATCATACCGCTATGTGATGCATTGAGTGTATGCTGTACTAAAAAGATAGGTCTTGATAGGTTTTGAACTGCGAAAGTGTGTCTGAGCCTCGGACGTTATCAGCAAGGCTATTCCAGAGTTTAGGAGCCATTAATGAGAACGCTCGACCTCCTTTACTCGATTTTGCTATTCTAGGTACTACCAGAAGCCCTGAGTTTTGAGATCTTAAAGAGCGAGTTGGATTGTTGGAGACAGAGGGTTGGTTAGATAAACAGCTGGATTATTTAAAGCTTTATAGGTAAGAAGCAATATTTTAAATTTAATACGAAACTTAACAGGCAGCCAGTGTAAGGAGGATAAAATTGGGGTGATTTGATCATATTTTCTAGACCTGGTAAGAACTCTGGCAGCTGCATTTTCATCATTCAATCATGAGGGGGGTCTCTCCACACCACCCCCAGTGTTCAGCATCCACTAGGTTGATGCGACGGCAGCCACAGGACAATAGCGTCAGCTATAGGTCTAATAATATTGACCAAAAAGGGTTTAAAAAAAATGAAAAACTGCTTTTATTGTTATCAAAATAAAACAATTAAGACTTTCTCCAGAAGAAAAAATATTATAGGAAATACTGTGGTAAAATTCCTTGCTCTGTTAAACAGTATTTGAATGAAATAAAATAAAAATGGAGAGAACTGTATATACCACAAATGAACTATAAATCAATATCTATGATCAAAAATTAGCAGTATATTACGTAAGAATCATCCCACTATTATTCAGCCAGGTGGGCTCTGTTTTATGTCCGGTGCCAGTGATCTCAAACCAACCTGGCTTTCTCCATACATCACTGCTTGTGACATTGACACAAATGCAGCAGCTGCTTTTCTAAATGCGTTTTGCAAATGTCAAACAGGGTCAAGATGCTTGCGTTTGTGATGGTGCTGACCACTGCTGCTAAAGGCAAGAGCTGGTAATTGCTTTTGCGGTACAGTGGCGGGCCGTAATTGAGGGCTGCCACCGAATCAGGACATGACCGGCGTGTTTTGGCGACTCCAGGAGCCCGCCTCTGTTTTGACAGGACTCGATAAGGTCTGCTCCCCTGCAGTCAGCCCCTCTGCGTTGTCATTTCCCACTGAACGACGTGTCCTACCGCAAGAAATCCCCTCGCAGGCCTGTCAAAGCAATCTCGCCGACTTATGTGGGATGATATGTGTCTGAGGAAGCATTTTAAAAATAGCCGGCGTCTGAGGTTTGTTTTCATCCAGGTCATCGGCTGAATGCATGCAATTGTTCTTTTCATGGTTTCCACTGGTCATGGAATTTATTGAATGCACCCCTTTCACAAGGTTATGATGTTCTTTTTAATGGTCATCAGCATCTTAAATGCATGTTTTATATACACTACCTGACAAAAGTCTAGTTGTAAGAGCAACAAATAATAACTTGACTTCTAGTTGATCATTTGGAAAAGTGGCAGAAGGTAGATTTTTAGGGTGGGGGGGATGCTAATATCATATCCTTACTTATTATTTTGTTTCATTACATGTTTGCTAACATTGTGGATCGTAGAAATGTTCCCCATTTATCAAATTAAATTTCGATCCTTCCGTGTAAACTTATCAAAAGCTGCAACTCGTCCTACCTCTGAGATCCACTCGAAGATCGGAGGTCTACTGGAAGATTTCCAGTTTTTAACAATCACCCGTCTGCCTAGCATGATGCAGCTCTGTATCCTCTGTGATTCTGCTTTGATCATGTGGCTTAAGGGACACTAAGTCACCAAGTATACATAAGTTTGGGCAAAAGTCGTACTGGGTCTGCAATATCTTTACAAGGTATTCATGCACCTCTCTCCAAAAATGTTGGACTTCTGTGCATTGCCATAATGCATGAAATAGGTCACCTGCTGCTTCATGGCATCACCTGCATTCTGGGTTGTTTTTAAAACTTGTATTTCAAGATTCCAATAAAATCTATGTAAAATTTTAACATCAGACATTAATTTTAAATTCCCAGCAATTTTCCCCATCTTCAGATGTGCATCACAAATCTGTTTCCCACATTATCTTGACTGCAGAACTAATATTTTGACTCGTTTGACTGAGTAGTGCATAGTATTTAGCTTCATGGCCAGTACCTATAATATTGCGGACCATGTTATCAATATGTTTACCCTTAGGAGAAATTGAAGGGGAGCCAAAGACATTTGTGAGCAAATGTTTCAACTGTAGATACCTCCACAACTGATTATTAGGCGAATCACTCCTTCCCATACTTCAGCCTCCACATCAGAGTTCCTGAAAGCAAAGAAGGTCAAGGTGCTCCATGATTGGCCAGCCCAGTCACCAGACATGAACATTATTGAGCATGTCTGGGGTAAGGAGGCGGAGGCATTGAAGATGAATCTAAAGAATCTTGATGAACTCTGGGAGTCCTGCAGGAACGCTTTCTTTGCCATTCCAGATGACTTTATTTATCAGTAATTTGAGTCTTGGGTAGGATATCGACAAGACTTTTGTCAGGTAGTGTATATATTTTAAAACAAAGAATGTACAGTTATAAAGCTACACTGTAAATAATATCTGTTAATTAATAGTTACTGTATTTTTGTGTTTTCGGTTTATTTCTGGTTGTCAATTGCATTATGGGACTTTGATCTCTGCTCTGTCGACGTTTGTTAAAAATTTTACTCTACGGTTTAACAAAGTGACTTATTGACATTGCAATAGTTTGGAATAATATAATGTGTAATAATTATTATATACACTGTAAAAAAATCTCTTATTTTACGTTTTGTTTTGTTTTTTGTTAGCAGCTAGGGTGTGCTTGCCGCTACATGAAATAATAGACATTAAATTACTGAAATTTCCTTACATTTAAAATTCTAGTAAGTTTCTGTAATTTAAAGTTTGTTATTTTATGGTAAATGTCTGTAATTTATTGGCCGTCATTTTACAATTTATTCCTGGCACCCTAGCTGCCAAACCCCCCCGTAAAATAATAGATTTTTTTTTTACAGTGTAGAGAAAAGAGTCAGTTGTTTGAAGAAAGATCAAGCTCCCATAATGCAGTTCCAAAACATAAACAAATGAGGGAAAATAAAAGCATGAATCATGAAAAAAATACAGAAAACTGCTAATCAAGGATATTTTGAAAAGTGTATTACATCGTCTTTGCATTCTTAAGTTGTTTTGCTGTGATAATATACTTGAATTTGACACTTTTTAATTCCTTATGAGGTTTTTGACCTTATGAACAATGGTTCTTTATAATTTGTATAAAGGGAACAATGAAAGTGTTTGCTCTTAACTGTAAAGGACCATATTTAACACATTTGATACGATCAGAATAAATGAACTTAAAAACCTCGAAACAATAATGTTTAAATTTAGAATTTTAGCAAAGGACACTGTAAAAAAAGAGTAACTTTGTGATTGTTGAGCATTTTCTATACAAGATTGCAATGTCATTTTAATTAATGTAATGCCACAATGCAGTGTCCTGGATGGCCAAAATCGGCAGGAAATAGCCAGCTAGCTCTTTGCCGGCAGCTAGCTTTCTGCAACTCTCACATGGTCGCCTATTGAATTTAAGCAGGGTTGCGCCAGCTCAATACCTGGAAGGGAGATCACATGGGAAAGCTGGGTTGCTGCTGAAAGTGGTGTTCATGAGACAAGCAGGGGGCGCTCAACCTGCGGTCTGTGTGGTTCCTAATTCCCCAGTATATTGAAAGGAACTCTATACTGCTCAGTGAGCGCCGTCTTACAGATTACACTTCAAACCGAAGTCCTGACTCTCTGTGGTCATAAAAAATTCCAGGATGTCCTTCAAAAAAAGAGTAGGGGAGGGACTGCTTAACCAAACAGCTGCCGGTCTTTCATAATACACTGCTAAAATCTAATAAAATCAGGACAACAAATGATTTTAGGTTACTTTAACTTATTTTAATAAGGCGTCTTACTTTTAAATCTGGTGTCAACTTCATTTTTCAGTCAGTTAACTTCATAATTTTAGTAAGTTTAATTCATATAATTTAGAATGACTAGAAAAGTTGATTTAATTCATCTAAACATATTTCTTTACACTGTGGGTCATGTAGATTCAGCTTTTAGTCTGTGAAAGTCATGGAAAAAAGGGCATTTGACATTGTTTAGATTGGAAACTCTTTTCTGTCTGATTTGTTTAAAAAAAATAAACAATACAATGGAAAACAATAGCCTTATTTGCTTTTTAAACTAAACTCGAATCGATATAAATAGCAACATGACGCTTTACATTTCAAGCTCTATTCTGTGTCATAGTTGCTAATATTTAGTATGTGCTGCTGAAATCCGCCTCTCACTTTTCTTTTGTTCAGGAATTGAGTTCCGGTTCCATGTTGAGAATCACCATTCCCGAGGTGGCCACTTCAGAGCTGGGTAAGAGAAAACGCTCGGATAAATCATAAATATTGTGATGCATCACTGACTCACGAGCTGATTTTAAAAGAGCAGAATGATGGTCAGAACACTCATTTTCATTTCATTCATTTATATGGCACAAATAAACAACACGAGTTGATCACTGCGCTGTACAGGGTATAAAAACGAAGATACATGATAAAAGGTTGATGACAAAAATGAGAATTAAATTAAATGTTAATGTTTGGACCAGAAGATGAGACTTTTTAAAGCAACTCACATCCACCTCGGGCAGGGGTACTCATTCCTGTTCCTGGATATCTACCTTCCTGCAGAGTTCAGCTGAAACCTTGATCAAACACACCTGTCTGTAATTACCAAGTGCTCCTTCAGGTCTCACTTAAGCTGTGTGAAATTGTGTGAAATTCTGTCGTACGGCGCTGCGAATAGGGGCAGGATTAAACAAGATGATTAGACATTAAAAAAGAAAGAGATGGCTCCAAGTTTTAAATTTCTGTCCAGAGAGGTCATGTTTTGATCCTCGATTGGTCTCACGCAGTCAAGTGATGCAATTTCGCAGGACAGAGTTCACCAAGCTTGAACTTTCAAACACAGCGAAACTTGATGCACGACCTTGCGTTTCTGGTCTGACGCATTCGCGTGCATATGAATGGAAGTCTATGGGGAGTAAAGTCCAGTGTGACCGCAGCTTTAGTTCATTTAATTGTGTTTGATCAGGGTTAGAGCTGAAATCTGCTTGAAGGTAGATCTCCAGAAACAGGATTGGGTGCCACTTCCCGAGGGACTGTTTTTCAGTTTTAAAGGCACAACATGGAAGAGTTTTTTTATCGTGTTTTATTTTACCCAAAATAGATCATGTGTAGTATATTTAATTCAGCAGTTTAATTAAAAGTGTTTAACTACCTTGATGTTGCAGTTACAAATACTGGATTGTTTTGACCCATATTTGGGTTATGTTATGATCCGGAGGAAGAAGAAACTGGTCCATTTGAACTGTAAAAGTTACTGAAAAAGTCCCTGTCAATGTCTGACAAAGTCCCATAGTTTCTGCTGCTCCTTTAATAGCAAACGGCCGGTGAATTACGCGTTGCAGCATGAGTTGTTGCATCAAAAATCTGAAAAATTACAGGAACTAACACAGCACTAGGTTGGCTATACTGTGGTATTGTTCTGAGAATGTACTTCTGAGAATGATTTGGTGATGTACCGTATCAACGTTGATGCGATCAAGCAAAAGATCTGAACCCAACTCGATTAGTTTTTAAACTCTGAGTTGACTATTTCGCTAAAGAATTAATAGTCTTAGACAATGTGCTCTTACAGATTTAAACCTCAGCTTGATGTTTTCATTCACTTTGAGCTTCCATGCATTGTGTAACAGCTCTTTTTCAAAAACCCACAATAGGGGCTCTTTGATTAGGCAGTGCACTATTAAATGGTTTTGTTTTGACCCATGTTTTGGTAAACCAAAGTGGCCAAACATTTAAATATTTTAAGAAATTTTATCCAATGCCAGTATTTCACCCAAATTTGAGTTGTAACAACAGCACATGTGTAGTATATTTAATTGACCCACATCTGACACATATTATTGCTTATTTTGTGGTTATTTTCCAAAATCCAGATTTATTTAGCATAAACGATGCGCCTGAGGATCTGTTCGCTAATGAACGCAGTAATGCTTTACTGTGAAGTAAAACTCTGAGTCACTCCTTCCACTTTCTACATTTAGACATTTGACCTTTCCTAATGTGTTTGCTATAAATATTCCAGGAAGTGTAGATGATACATGCTTTGCCTCCGTTAATGCCATTATACTGTTTTCTATTACTTTTTGCTATTGATTGATTATTATTGCGTCATTTGCCACTTATCAACCACCCTAAGCATGATAGCGGCGATGACTTTCTCCAAAGCGCGAGCTCTGCTTTCCCTGTGGCGGATTTGTTTACTTATTTCCTGGCCTTTCGCTCAGGCCTGATTGTGTGCAGTATCTCTCTATCCAGCGTTCTTTACAATTTTCTCAATTAATGCCAACTTCCTTTTAATAAGTGCTTTAGTTTGAAAGTGGTGGGCTTTTGTACCACTAATAAAGTGGCATTTTATTCAGCTCCATCCTGACCTTTCGTTGTTTGTTTGCTAATTAAGCTTCAGGCAGAGTCATTGAGAGTGTGCTGGTGTGACGAGGAGCGATAGACAATAAAATAAAAGAAGTGGGAAATGCCATTTTAGATATCTTTAATTCAGGTTGGGCTGTAAACGAAAGATACTTCTACTTAATCTACTTGTATTAGGCTCTATATCAGGGGAGACCAAACTTTTTTCTATAAAAGACCTAAAACCAAACTTGATTGAGGGCTTGATTGAGGTAAATATACCAAACTGTATTACATTAATGATGCCATGGGTAATTAATAATATTTATAAATAACTAAAAAACATTGCTTTATATTACTACTAATGGAGTAAATACAGTTGAAGCCAGAAGTTAACATACACTCTAAAAAAAAGAACCTAAGCATTTTAAAAAAAATGTCTGATGGTAAATCATACTAAATGTTTACTATTTCAGGTCCTTTAGGATTACCTAAATGATTTACATTTGCTAAATGCCAGAATGATGAGAGATTTTGTTTTTAGAATTTTTTATTTTATTTCTAGAGAGTCAAAAGTTTAATTACATTTTCTTGGTATTTTTTAGCTTTGCGTTTAAACTGTATAACTTTGGTCAACTGTTTTGGGTATCCTTCCACAAGCTTCTCACAATAGTTTGCTGGAATTGTGGCCCATTCCTCCTGACAGAATTGGTGTAACTGAGTCAGATTTGTTGGCTGTCTTGCTCGCACAAGCTTTTTCAATTATGCCAACAATTTTTCTTTAGGATTGAGATCAGGGCTTTGTGATGGCCACTCCAAAGCATTTACTCTGTTGTCCTTAAAGCAAATTTGAACTAATTTGGCAGTATGCTTAGTGTCATGGTCTGTTTGGAAGACTCATTTGTGACCAAGTTTTAATTTCCTGGCTGATGTCTTGAGATGTTGCTTTAGTATTTCTACATAATGTTCTTTCTTCATGATGCCATCTATGCTGTGAAGTGGACCAGTCCCTCCTGCAGCAACACAGCCCCACAACATGATGCTGCCGTCCCCATACTTCACAGTTGGGATGGTGTTCCTAGGCTTGTAAGCTTTCCCCTTTGTCCTCCAAATGTAACACTGCTCATTATGGCCAAACAGTTCAATCTTAGTTCCATCAGATTACAGGACATGTCTCCAAAAATTATTCTTTTTCTCAGTGTAATTTGGCAAATTGTAATCTGGCTTTGTTGTTGATTCTGGCTTGTTGATTTTCCCATGTTGTCATACAAGGAGTATGTTTGAGGTTTTCCTTAAATACTATTCTGCAGTTGTGCCTTCGATTAACTCAAATGTTGTCAATTAGCCAATCAGAAACTTCCAAAACCTTGACACCATCTTCTGAGCTTTTTCACAGGCATAATAATCTTATTGTATATAAACTTTTTGACTTAACAAAAAGTTAACAATTTAACAATTTCTCAAAAAATCTCACTCTCATTATTCTGCTATGAAGTATAACAGAAACAAATTTAATAATCCTAACTTACCTAAAAGAGAAATAGTTTAGTCACATTAACATCTGACGTTTTTTTAAATGGTTATGTGCCTTTTTATACAGTGTATGTGTAAACTTCTGGTTTCAACTGTATGTTACCGGCAATGCGTGAAATCCCGGAATGGTAAACAATGCCTAGGAAGTATATAGATTGCCTGATGGTTTTAGGCAAAGTACTAAATGTCAGTTTTTTTGTAAAGATTTTGCATACTTTTCCCAGGCATTCTTTACAGTCCCTAGGCATTGTATTTAATGACAAGTATTATTTAGGCAAGTGTCAGAAGACCACAGCAAAAGCCTTTATTGGTCATTTCATATTTTAAAGTGAAAGGAATACGAAATAAAGTATATGATGTTCTTTAAAAATGACAGCAGAACTGAGGTTGAAGTATTTGTTACTATATTCTCTGAGATTTGGTAGTCGAACCTCGTACCGGCAATGCGCTGTCTTATAATGACATTAAACTCGCATGCTTCGATCACCATCATCAATCAATGACTCAAGTGCCACTGCCAACATCAGTGGCAGGAAAAATGGCAGGGGTAGGCCAATTACATACTTTGCCATGCGGCAACTTGGCATTCTATAGACTGCCTAGGCAATGTATAAAGTAGCAATCGTTTCATACTTTGACGTTGGCTTTTAGGCATTCTAAACCTTCCCTAGGCCAGAGATGCCTAAAGTAGAGCCCACGGGCCAAAGTTGGCTCATTGTAACCTTTGATTTGGCCCACCATCCCATCTGAGAGGACAGTGAGAATGATGGAGAGGGCTAGGGCGATTGTCTTTAACAGAGATCATCGTTTCTAATTTGATGTAATGTTTTTTTTTTTTGTTTGTTTATTTCATTGCTGAGCTACAAAAAAACCCCAAACAAACTGAAATGAAACGTTTCAATTAAATGTTTTGAATGAATCTGATTTTTAAAAGTGTAAATGACACTTGACGGATAGAGGACTATGCAGAAGACATCGGTGAGCAAATCAAGGCAAAAACTATTGTATTTTCACTCTGTTATAAATGAAATTGTTTTTGTATTTACCATAATACGTACATCATTAAATGTAAATAAATAAATATTAAATAAATTAGCAAATTAGCCATGGCAAATATATTTATTTACCTTTGGTCCACTAGCCTCAATCAAGTTTGGTCTGTAGATTGACAGTATTTACATTTAAAAAATAAGTTTCATTTACAACATTTAATGGAAATATTTATTTCAGTTTGCTTTTTTTGTAGCTCAGCAATAAAACAAACAAACAAAAAAAAGTTTACATTATTTATTAAATGACAATCTCTGTTAAACTCATTCGTCCCAACCCTTCCCATTACTCTATTCTCAGATTGGATGGTGGGCCAAATGAAAGGTTACCATAGGCCAGCTTTGGCTCTCAGGGCCTAGTCTGGGCATCTCTGCTCTGTATTGTGAAGATTTATCAATCTGGACTTTGTGGTTACTTACTGTATATTTATTTATTACCGCTCAAGATCAAGGCTGGATAAACATAAATAAGAAAAATGAAGTTTGCAAATGAAGTTATATGTAATAAAATGAAATAATGCAGGGATAAAGTACTGAACACATGAATAAAGGCAGCCGTAGAAAGACAGTGAAAGCCCAGACAGCTGCGCAAATCTCAGTAGTTCTTCAGCAACACTCTGCCCTTCCTCAGTGTAAATGAATATCAGCTGCTTCAGTCCAACATCTACATGAGCAGGAAGAAGATGAAACAGGGTGGACCAATCAAAGCAAACTTAGCCGTATCCTTGCCTCCACCCTCAGATCTCCTGATCCTCTTCCAGTCACCATCAGGTCTTGAAACCCCCGTGTCACGCAGTCAAACGCTTTTGCAAACAGTCCTCCATAAACCCCCCTGGAGTTTAGTGGCCCTGCGCTCTTCACCCACTCGCTCAGATGTGTGTTCCAGCTCCGGCTGCGTCGCCCCCTCCCTACACACACACTGTTCTGTAGGAGATCTTCATCCTCATTATCTTCACCTACACTTTCATTTCTTATCTACACACGTGGGGGCGGTTGATATGACCTCAGATGTTATTTTTAATGTTAATCTAATAATATGGTATTAATTCATCTGAGGTGACTCTGGAATTGCTAACATTTATTAGTGGCGGTGTTTGCTAAGAGAAACATCATTGTTAATGTTGCTGAAACTCCAATTTAATAAAAAATTGACCAATTATCAATTAATATTTTAGATTACAAGTATAATCTATATATATATATATATATATATATATATATATATATATATATATATATATATACACACACACACACACACAATTATTATTAATATTTTAATTGAATATTGCTCATTATTTATTGTAGATGATTTGTCCATGTACTACTTTTTTTTGTTGTTGAGTTTAAAGCAAATACCACAGACACTGTTGTAGTTGTTCGGATTTTCAAAGATCACTATTCTGCTCTTAAAGGGATAGTTCACCCGATAATGAAAATTCTGTCATTATTTACTCATCCGTTATTCATTCATTCATTCATTCATTCATTCATTCATTCATTCATTCATTCATTCATTTTCCTTTGGCTTATTCTCTTTATTCATCAGGGGTCGCCACAGCGCAATGAACCACCAACTTATCCAGCATATGTTTTACGCAGCGGATGCCCTTCCAGCTGCAGCCCAGTATTGGGAAACACCCATACACACATTCACACACAAACATTTAAACCAGAAATTTAAACCACACTGAACTAAACTGAACTGAACTTCAACTCTGAAATCTGGACTTTACTAGAACTATGTTAAGCTGCTTTTAAATAAACATGAATTGAACTAAATATAACTCGTCTATATTGTATATCTATTTTTTTTAATTAGCATATTTGTTCTTCTTTTCTATAGCTATTTTTTTTCTCTCTTCAGGTTTTTACATTTTATTTGTTGTTCTTATTCCACTTTTTTTTTAGTATTGATAATCTTTTCTTTTTTTTTTTTAAGTCACATGCAGTTGTATAAGCATTCACTGCAGGTCGTACTGTTTATGACTGTGCATGTGACTAATAAAATTAGAATTTCTTAATTTAAAAAACATCCTTGTAACATTCCATTTTTTTAGCTTTGTCCCTTCCACAGCGGAATGAACCGTCAATTATTCTGGCATATGTTTAACACAGTGGATGCCCTTCCAGCCGCAATCCAGTACTGGGAAACCACCAAACGCACTCATTAACGCACGCACATCATACTCATATACATACATCATACTCTTAAGTACACTAAGGCCAATTCAGTTTATTCAATTCCCCTATAGCGCATGTGTTCGGACTGTGGGGGAAACTGGAGCACCCAGAGGAAACCCACACCAACACAGAGAGAACATGCAAACTCCACACAGAAATGCCAATTGGCCTAGCCGGGGCTTTATCCAGCAACCTTCTTGCTGTGAGGAGACTGTGATTACCACTGAGCCGCCGTGCTGCCTTCCTTGTAACAGGGACTTTTTTTTTAAAGAGTGTTTTGTGTTTCTGTTACTCCCACAGTCAAACGCTGCCTGCAGGCCATCCGATTTATTTTACCCAAGGACACTGCCATGAAAGTGCTGGTCAAGTGGTACAACAGCTACAACGCCCCCGGAGGTCCCAGCATGCACCTGGAGTGGAACCTGTTCGTCACCTGCCTAATGACAATGATGGGTTACAACACAGAGCGGCTGACGTGGACACGCAACGTAAGTGGTCTGACCTCTGGTCCAACACTTAATAATAGAATAAAATCTGTGTCAGAAAATTGGTTTGCATTGCATCGTACAGGTTTACTTATGTATATTATTATCATTTTATTGAATTATATAGCTGAAGTAAAATATTATTACTAGCCCTCCGTTGAATTCGTTTTCTTTTTCTATTATTTCCCAAATGATGTTTAACAGAGCAAGAACATTTTTACAGCATGTCTGATAATAGTTTTTCTTCTGGAGAAAGTCTGATTTGTACGGAACCCCGGAAGGGACGTAGTGGAGGAGAAAAAAATTGGCTGGGTGAAAAAAAAAAAAAATGGGTGAAAGAAAAAAATGGGTGGGAGGAAAATATATATTTCTAAGTTTTTGCGTTCTCTCGCAAAGTTTTGTGTTCCCTCGCAAAGATGTTTTGCGTTCTCTCGCAAAGTTGTTTTGCGTTCCTTCGCAAAGATGTTTTGCGTTCCCTCGCAAAACTGTTTCTCCACAAACACTTCCTGTTCACTTCACTCACATAAACCCTTCCGTTTTTGCCGAAATTCTTTTGCCGAATACCAGCATCTTGAAGAATATCTAGTTAAATAGTACACTGTAAAACCCAATAAGTTAAGGCAACTCAAACCATTTGAGGAAACTGATTGCAACAAAACATTTAAGCTCAAAAACGAGTACTCTGAACTTAATCCATTTGAGTAAATGAAGCAATTTGAGCACAGTAAAACCCGATAAATGAAGAGAACTCAAACCAGCTGAGTACTGTAAAACCCAATAAAGAGAACTTAAACCATTTGAGGAAACCGATTGCAACAAAACATTTAAGCTCAAACTAATTCCTAATGAGTACTGTCAACTTAATCCATTTAAGTTGAAGTAATGAGGTATTTAATTAACTCCTTACCTTCAACACGGAGTTCAAAAATCTTTTCGAATAGGTAGAATTAACTTTCAGTCAATTTTGAGTTAGCTGCACTCATTTCATGTGATAAAGTTGACTGTTGGGTTTAACAGTGCATGTAGTGTCATTATGGCAAAGATAAAGGAAATCAGTTATTAGTTATTTATTAATTATTATTATAAATTGTTTAATTAGTTAATTAATTAATTTTTTCTTTAAAAGCTTTAAATGAAGTATAAAAAGAATAACTAGACAACTAAAACTAAAATGATTTACAAATGTACTTATTGTATGCACACATTAACGCCGCATTCACACGGGGCTTCAGCGTCAACGCTTGACTGAATGAGTGTCTGAAGTTGGGGCTGACGCGATCGTCATAGCACCGTCAGCCAATGAAATTCAGTCAGCAATAGGCCACCGTCTAGCTGGTGTATTTGCATACAGCGATCTGATTGGCTGATGCTTCCGTCGGCGCTTGAAAATTTGAACTAGTCCCAACTTCTGCAGCTTGCACTGCCTCTGAAGCGACGCCGTCAGATCCACAATGCAGTTCGGCAACGCCTGACATCACCCATTCAAAGTAAATGTGAAGCGTTGACGCTAAAGCCCTGTGTGAATGGGGCATAATTATTATACAGGTGTAGTTGTCATCATTTTTATGATCATTATTACACACATTTACAATTATTGATATCAAAATATTCCACAGTGAAGTTCATTAAAATGAAATTGTAGGTTTTCCAGTACTTGCTTGAATACACTGTTATATAATAACAAAATAAAAATTAAATATTTGTTTAGAATTTGTATACATTTTTTGTATTTAATATATATTTTATTCCTTTAGCATTTCAAAAAAATATTCAAGATATTTATTATACAAAAAATGTATAAACACTATTTATTTATTTAAAAAAAAAAAGATTATAGCTCAAACTTTTGCTGTTTTAAAATTTGTCAGATGTTGTAAGCACAGAAAACCATTTACTACACTTTGTAATATTTTTGTATATGTTTACCTGCAGTTATAGATGTGTATACATTTGAAGTTATATACAGCTGAATTATTTTTTAGCCCTCCTGTATATTTTTCCCCAATTTCTGTTTAACGGAAAGAAGGCTTCTATCAGCTTACAGTGACACTTAAGTGCTTAACTATGAAGTTAAGTACATTTACATTTAGTCATTTAGCAGACACTTTTATCCAAAGCGACTTGCAAATGAGGATAAGGAAGCAATTTACACAACTATGAGAGCAACTCTAAGTAGGCAAGATATAAGTAGGCAAGATATGGTAATTAGGCAAATCATTGTATAACAGAGGTTTGTTCTGTAGACAATCGAAAAAAATATATAGCTTAAGGGGGCTTAACAAATATTGACCTTAAAATGTTTTTTAAAAAATTAAAAACTGCTTTTAGTTTAGCTGAATTAAAACAAATCAGATAATTCTCCAGAAGAAAAAAATATTATCAGACATACTGTGAAAATGTCCTTGCTCTGTTAAACATCATTTGGGAAATATTTAAAATAGAAAAAAGGACGATGAATAATTGTGAATTCAACTGTATTTATTGTTCATACTGTTATTAGGCTTATTTTCTGATTGTAACTGCTTTTGTTTTGTAGACCTCATACAGTGAATTATCATGCAGGCTGTGAGATTTGTAATAGGTGAATAAAGCACTTGTTTTAAATGATCATTAACACACTTGCTGTCTCCACAGCTTCATTTTGAAGTGCCTCTTTCACCAGTAATCGCTGCTAAGAAAGCCCGTCCTGCCGACACTGGGTCAGATGAGGTGAGTGGTGTGTGTGTATATATATTGGTGAAAAAAAACTTCACCGATAGGCGATTGAAGAAAAAAAAACCCTGAGAGAATGCAGACTCGGTTATTATTAGCGTAAACTGCAAGCTTGAGTGATAATTGTTTTATTACAGAAAGGGTTAAGAAAAAACACTCAAAATCAATTGGGTTTTTAAGAATATTTAGAAAATAAAATAAATAGTTTAATTTAGCAAGGAAATTTGAAAAACGCATAACCACAGATACAGGGACACTGGAGCATTTTAAAGCTGCAATTCATCAGCGGGTTGCTCATATGTCAGCTAATAGACAAACCAGCAGATCAGCTAAAGTCTTCTTACAACATGATTTCAAAATAAGATCATCTTGTAAAAATGAGTAAAACCTAATAAATTTACAGTATCAGGAAAAAAAGCTATATAAACTTGACATTAACAGAAAGAAAGCCATAAAGAAATCAGTTGAACTGTTATTGCCTGTAAAAATGTATGCAAAACAAATAAATTAAATGTATTGTTTTTCTTATCCAAAACATTTATTTATTTATTTATTTATTTATTTATTTATTTATTTATTTATTTTATTTTATTATTATAAATTTGACAAATTTTATTATTAAAATTATAAAAAATATTACATTATAAAACAAATTCATATTACAATAAAAAGTTACATTGACAAATATATTGATAAAAATAAATAAATAACAGTCACAAATGTAATATATAGTGCCCGGGTAGGACACATATCGGGTATTAAATTGATAAGAATAGATAGTACTCTTAATCTTAGCCAAAAGGCTGATCCAAAAGATATTAGATGACAACTGTCTTATTTAAATGAACATAATAGTTTACGAAAACTACTTTGTAAAAAATTTAAGCAATGTATGACCTCTTTATTAACTAAAAATTGATGAAAATCATACTTTTCAAAGGATTGCATATTCATTTATATGTAGAAGTTGGTTATGGGATGTAGCAATTTTTAATAAAGAAAGAGTGAGTCACACAGGCTAACCAGACACCAGGTTTTATCCTCTTTCCACTGCTTTAAGGGCTGCTCTTCCTCCCTCACGCTCGCAACTGAACAATATAACGAGATTCGCCCCGCCAAAACATATATGTTTGTACCTCTTATCATTTCGGCAGTTGCGTCTAGCCATTTATTGTTTTGACCTGCCACCTAGTCGACATTTAAAGTACTGCATTCGGATTAGTTTTACTTTCATTTTCTCTCAGTTTACAGTCAAGAGTAACACATGCGTTTTAATTCTGTTGCTGAATTAAAAGTTGAATTATATGTCCGTAAGTGCTCTATTTTTACTAAAGCTCTATTTTTGTAAATATTCAAGGGTTGTTTGATTATTATCTGTTTTATACCACCTGCATTTTGTTGTACAAACACTTCCTCATGGAAGTATGTACATACTTTCCCCCTCTTCGTTGGTGTTTTACATATTTTATTTTAAATATTGACAAGAACAATTGCCAGGAAAGTCACTTAATATCTTATTCTTTCCAAATGTAAAGTGGAGGTGAGTCCGAGAAGTCAGTCAGAAAAAAAGAGACCTAACATTTTTCTTCCAAAAACAAAGGATAACTTTTTTTTAGCTATGTTGATGCCATACTGAACGGGTAACTGTATATTTCGGTTAAGAGTCTCAAGAAAATCGGACCAGCCAAATATTGATATCATTGGGCCAGGGAGCAAAACACATTCATAAACATTTGCAAAGAACTGAAATATTTCTAACCAAAAATTCTGAATTTGAGCACAAGACCAAAAAAGATGTGCTTAGTTACCCTCAGAAGCTTTACACTTGTCACATGTGGAGGAAACCGAGGCATAGAATTTATTAAGCTTTGTTTTAGACTGTGTAATACTTTGTACTGAATAAGATGGTATCTTGAATTTATAGAACATGAATAAACTGATAAAAGGAAATTGATCCCAATCAGTCTCAGATATTGAAATGCCTAAATCATCTTCCCAAGCAACTTTCAAATGAAGAGAAGGAAAATCTGTTTTGTTTTTAAAAGCATTAACAAATAAAGAGGTTAAGCCCCTAGTGTTTGAAGAGTTTAAAAATAAATCAAATAACTTCTTTCTGAAGATAAAACATCAAAATCTGGAATATTTAGAGGGACATAGTTTCTGACCTGAAGATACCAAAACAAATTAGAAGGGGGTAGTTTAAATTTCTTAAAGAGTTTTGAAAAGGCGGCAAAAATATTATATTATATTATATTATATTATATTATATTATATTATATTATATTATATTATATTATATTATATTATATTATATTATATTATTCATTCATTCATTCAATTATTCATTCATTCATTCATTCATTTTCTTTTCGGCTTAGTCCCTTCATTATTCCGGGGTCGCCACAGCAGAATGAACCGCCAACTTATCCAGCACATTTTTGCACAGCAGATGCCCTTCCAGCCACAACCCATCTCTGGGAAACATCCACACACGCTCATTCACACTCATACACTCCGGAAAAATTTAGCCTACCCAATGCACCTGTATTGCATGTCTTTGGACACGCGAACACAGGGAGAACATGCAAACTCCACACAGAAATGCCAACTGACCCAGCTGAGGCTCGAACCAGCGACCTTCTTGCTGTGAGGCGACAGCACTACCTACTGCACCACTGTGTCACATTATATTATATTATATTATATTATATTATATTATATTATATTATATTATATTATATTATTTTATATTATATTATATTATATTATATTATTTTATATTATATTATGTTATGTTATGTTATATTATGTTATATTATATTATATTATATTATATTGTATTATAAAATATTATATTGTATTATATTGTATTATATTATATTATATTATATTATATTATTTTATATTATATTATATTATATTATATTATATTATATTATATTATATTATATTATATTATATTATTTTATATTATATTATATTATATTATATTATATTATGTTATGTTATATTATGTTATATTATATTATATTATATTGTATTATAAAATATTATATTGTATTATATTGTATTATATTATATTATATTATTTTATATTATATTATGTTATGTTATATTATGTTATATTATGTTATGTTATATTATGTTATATTATATTATATTATATTGTATTATAAAATATTTTATTGTATTATATTATATTATATTATATTATATTATATTATTTTATATTATATTATATTATATTATATTATATTATATTATGTTATGTTATATTATGTTATATTATATTATATTATATTATATTATATTATTTTATATTATATTATATTATTTTATATTATATTATATTATATTATATTATGTTATGTTATATTATATTATATTATATTATATTATATTATATTATATTATATTATATTATATTATATTATATTATATTATATTATATTATAAATCTTTAACACTGGAAACTCTTTTATCTTGCCATTGCTCAAAAACGATATCAGGGTTTAAATGCATGATTGTAACAAATAGGAGTAAGTGGGGAGGTATTTGGTAATTTGTTAAATTTTCTAATTTGATACCATATTTTAATAGAGTTATTAGGAATGAAATTACATTTAGGAATATCTTTGTTAAGAAGAGGTACTGAAAACTGTAAATCAGAAAGAGGAGAATGGAAGGCACTTTGTTCTATCACTAACCAAGCAGGAGTGTCTGCTGAAATAATACATGGACATAATGTATTCTAATTGCTGTAACAAATGTATGGTATCTCGACTGAGTTCCTGTGCTGTTTTGTTGGTGGTGTTGATTTCACTACACGACCAAAAATTTGCCGTAGCTCTCGCCGTCTGTTTTTCGAATTCTATAAATTCAGACATACTACTCAGCTAATACTGCTTTTCATATAATATATAGTAGGCAAGTATGTGATTTTGGATGCAGCTCATGGGTTTTTTTCTGTTCTGACAGGATTGGCTGTATCTCCGCTGCTCAGACTATCATTGGCAGGTGTCCATGCGGCCTGCGGTGTCTGTTCAGGGTCTGGAGATGCTGTTTCCCCCTGCTGGAGTGGATGATCAGGAGTCTGCTCTGGGTTTGGAGTCGTCCGCTCTCCTTTTCCCACACATCCCGCTGCTCTTTTATGTCCTGCATCTGCTGTATGAGGACCTGAAGCTGGACGAGTTGCAGAGGAGTGGTGCCAGGGCTCTGGTTGGCCTGCTGCAACAGCTTGCCAGGTAATCTTTTATTTTTATTAATGTTTTTCATATGTCATATCATGCTTTGTGCAATAATGTAAATAACTTCTATTAAACTGTAAACAAAAAAATATCAAATTATTTCTGCATTATAAACTTACAAAATGGATTGCTCTTTTCTCTTGAATCAATTCTGAGACTAGTTAAAATGCAGCAGATTGTGCTGTGTGCGTTAAATAATGCCATACTCTTCTTGCAACCAATTATTTACAAATAGCACTTCAACTGAAATATTCTTTAATAAAGTTAGGAAAGGTTTAGGAAAGTTACAAGAGTGTTTAGAGTAAGCTTGTGAAACAAAATTTAAATGACATTACTCAGCAGCTCTTCCTAGTTATAAACTAGCGTAAAACACTATCTACTGTTAAAAATTTGCCTACAGCAGCGTCTGCTGTTACAAAAAAATCCTAGACCACTGTCTGCTGTTGAAAACTAGCCTAGATTGCCATCTGCTGTTAATAACTAGCCTAGAGCGCCATCTGCCGTTAAGAACTAGCCTAGAGCGCCATTTAAGAACTAGCCTAGAGCGCCATCTGCTGTTAAGAACTAGCCTAGAGCGCCATTTGCTGTTAAGAACTAGCCTAGAGCGCCATTTGCTGTTAAGAACTAGCCTAGAGCACCATCTGCTGTTAAGAACTAGCCTAGATTGCCGTCTGCCGTGAAGAACTTGCCTAGAGCGCCATCTGCTGTTAAGAACTAGCCTAGAGCGCCATCTGCTGTTTAGAACTAGCCTTGAGCGCCATCTGCCGTTAAGAACTAGCCTAGAGAGCCATCTGCTGTTAAGAACTAGCCTTGAGCGCCATCTGCCGTTAAGAACTAGCCTAGAGCGCCATCTGCCGTTAAGAACTAGCCTAGAGCGCCATCTGCCGTTAAGAACTAGCCTAGAGCGCCATCTGCCATTAAGAACCAGCCTAGAGAGCCATCTGCCGTTAAGAACCAGCCTAGAGCGCCATCTGCTGTTTAGAACTAGCCTAGAGCGCCATCTGCTGTTTAGAACTAGCCTTGAGCGCCATCTGCCGTTAAGAACTAGCCTAGAGAGCCATCTGCTGTTAAGAACTAGCCTTGAGCGCCATCTGCCGTTAAGAACTAGCCTAGAGCGCCATCTGCCGTTAAGAACTAGCCTAGAGCGCCATCTGCCGTTAAGAACTAGCCTAGAGCGCCATCTGCCGTTAAGAACTAGCCTAGAGCGCCATCTGCCGTTAAGAACCAGCCTAGAGCGCCATCTGCCGTTAAAAACTAGCCTAGGGCGCCATCTGCCGTTAAGAACTAGCCTAGAGCGCCATCTGCCGTTGAGAACTAGCCTAGAGCGCCATCTGCTGTTGAGAACTAGCCTAGAGCGCCATCTGCTGTTGAGAACTATCCTAAGCACCATTTGCTGTTAAAAACTAACCAAGAGCACAGCCTATAGTTAAACACTATCCTAATGTTATCTGCTGGTTAAAACCTAGCATTGAGTGCCATATTTTGTTTAAAAAACAGCCTAGTGCGCTGTCTGCAGTTAAAAACTAGCCTAGAGCGCCGTCTGCAGTTATAAACTAGCCAAGAGCCGCTCATTAATGTCAGTTCCAAAGCAGTGGATCAATCAGAATAACTTGTTTACTGTAGCATGTTAGCATGGCAACTGTTTTATTTGACTTTAACATAGCAGAGGAACACTAGAACTACATTTTGAACATTGTTTTTAATTTTTGTAATTTAATAATCTTGATTAAATTAAAACCCAACTATTATAACTATTATTGTAACTATTATACCTTGATTTTTCCTAAATATGTGTATATTTATTTCTTGCATAGTTAAATTATTAAAATTACAAAACACAAAAGAGCTGTGAGTATCTCTTTCTTGCTGTGGCTGATGCCGATGCTGATGCGCACCTCTCAAAAAATGTAACTGCACATTACAAAGGTGTGTAGTGCAAGATCTGTGATTGGTCGGTTTGGTAGAGGTGATGAGCGTGGGTGGTGCTGAGAGCTGTGAGCCTGATGTAAAGAAGCTCCAGATCTCAAATTTATTTTTGTTTACCTTATGATTAAAGTTGTTGCACGTCCCCGGGTTCTGCCTCTGACTGAGTGAGTTTGAGCTACTTGTACATTAAGGGAGCATTCAGAAAAATACAAAGCACCTGCAAAGAAACTTAATAAAGAGAAACATAAAAACCTGCTGCCAGCTAGCGTTTCGGAAGTGCTATTGAAGAGCAACACAAACAGCACGCAGAAGTATAAATGCACAACTACGCGTAAGTCAGTCAGTTGACCGTGGGTCATGCCGATCACTCAATGCAGAAGTATAAATTAGCAATATGCTTGTTTTATACTTCTGCGTCAAGTGACCTGCGTAACCCACGGCGCATGTAACGTACATAGCTATGCATTTATACTTCTGCGCGCTGTCTCTGTTGGTCTGCATTAACACTTCCGAAACGCTAGTGGGCAGTGAGGTGTTAATGTAATGAGGAGTTTCTTCGCTCCTGTTTTTTTTTTCTGAACGCTTTCTGAATGTACAAGTGGCTCAAACTCGCTCATTTTGAGGCAGGAATCGGCTGACGTGCAACAACTTTAACTATGAGGTAAACACAAAACAAAACTTTCCACCCGGAGCTCCTTCACGGACTCCACACTTGTAAACAATCGCTCAATTGGGCTCGCGCCGCTCGCACGGCTCTCGGTCCCGCCCTGACTTGTCAGCGCTACCAAGCCGACCAATCACAGAGCTTGGGCTACGCGTCGTTGCGACGTGTAGATGCATTTTTTGAAAGGTGCACATCAGCGACGACTACGGCTTAGGGCTATGCGTCAACGCGCAGGCTGCGCCGTAGCATACGCGTGCGGTTGACGCAGAAATATAAATCAGCCTTTAAGTCTAGTATAACTACAAATTTATAGGCTGTGTTACTAAATGACTTAATTAATATGACGACAGACATACAAAACTTACAAAATCTCATTAGAAGCTTTGAATGTAAATATGACGCCTTGTATGAGAACGTGCAGAATAACCGATATGGTAATTGTAGTAATTATGGATTTCTGGTAGTTACAGTGTTAACATGAACTCAACCCTAATGCCTATACTATGAAAGTAATGTTTATTGTGGCCCAGTACCAATTCTATTTTGTACCCCTACCCTTTTCCCTTTCCCTTGGCCCTTGAAACTGCACAAGTCATCATACATCATCGCAATCTCTTGCTTCATGTGAGATCAGACGATGGTGACTGCTGTAGTTGTTCCAGTTATGTTATTTTTTGGTATTTATCTTTAGGAAATCACTGAAGGCATATATTATGTTATCATACGGTATAATGTAGCAATAAAATCATAACTGTGCTGTGCATTTACACCGTGGCCATATTCATCTATATAAACACACAAAAACAACATTAACATTATGGCAGACACTGTAAAAAGCCCATTCCCAGCCACTAGGCTTTTCTGACAGGGTATTCGAGTGTCATCGAGTGTTAGAATGTTCTGTGACTGCTGTACAGGTTTTATGATTATGGATTATGATTATGGATTGCCAAATTTAGTGGTTCTGTAGCGTTTTTTTTAAAGCATGATGGTAAAACATGAACGCGATTATGAATATATTAAATCATGTGTGTTTGTTTGTTGTAAAAATTTGTAATAATGACAAAAAATACTAGTTTGTGGATCTCCTTATTTCCGGGTATGGCTATGCTGGGCTGGTGTATTCTGGGAAAATTTCTTACCCCTTGGTTTCGAGTGTGGTGCTGAAAAATCTCTGATCGATGTAGTATCTACCCCTTCCCCTTAGTCCTACACCTTCAAGCTAAAGAGAATTGGGACACCCCATCATGTGAACACGCAAAACGAGGGGTAGGGGTAAGGGAAAGGGAAAGGCTAAGGGGTAGAATTGGGATTGTTTCACTATTTCTTCATTTGTAAATCACTTTGGATAAAAGACTAAATGTATATAGATTATCTGTAGCCCAACCGTATTACTTAAAATAATTGATTTCAGTTGGTTTGAATGGAAGTTCTCCAAACCGTAAGTGCAATCCATTATTTAAAATGCAGAAATTGAGTGAATAGGAATAATACCACATGAACTGATCTTGTGTTTTCAACATGATTCATTCGCTAACCAAGTAATTGTCAACCAACTCATCAAACCTCCCACTTCACTTCTGCTTTTCTTTGTGGTGCATCCTATTTTTTTCATGGGTAGAGATAGATCACTGTAATGCATTTTATTGTTGAATAAAATGTCAAGTGCTTGCTGCCATGTGGACATGAACAAAACAGCAGCAAGAGTGTAATTGGTCGCTGTTTGATGAACCTGTGTGGGCTTGAGATTTAAAAGCAGCGTATTATAACAGACAAGAACACATAAGGCTAATGATAATCTGCCGTTTACTCTTCAGATTGTAGATGGCCAATATTCATCACAATTTTATTAGTCTTTTGATAAAATCTGATAGTTTTATGCAAAATATTCTTAGCATCGATAATTTCAAGCAAACTGCTCATTATAACTGATCACAGGCAAATAGATTTCTGACATGATATGCGGCATTCAGATGGAGAAATTGGCTACTTGGGGCGAAGAGCATAGAATCACTAAAGCCTAGTTCACACTACAGGATTTTAAACATCAGCAGATCGCTGTGCTGTTCACACTACATGACCTGACTTTGGCCCCGTTTACACTAGTACGTTTTAGTTTTAAAACGGCGTTTTAGAATGAAAACGATCCGCGTCCACACTCGCGTTTTACCCAGCGTTTCTGAACTGCTCTCCGTCCACACCAAAACGCTGAAAACGCACATCACGTGACCACACAGACGCTCTCGGGCAAGCGCTGCAGCCCATGTACCCAGATGAGAGCTGTGCTAGTCGGACTTCTCATCAAGCATCTCCCGCTGGATCTAATCTCACTATATTTATTAAACGGGATATTTCATTCATCTTGTTGTCTTTAGCTAACGACATATTCCCTGACTTTGGGCATTGGAATCTATTACTTGTTTTCAGGTAACGTGTTTTGGCTGAGCGCAAAGATAAGTTAATGATTAATGTAACCACGTACATTCTGTATATTGACTGATCGCTTGCCTTTATTTCCTATAATGTATAAACTTATTGTATGTTATACTTTTAAAATGGCCATTATCGATTCTTAAAACTGATACTCAGCAAAAGAGAGGGGATGTTTCGTATTTTCACTGAAATTGAAAGGAGGCCGTTGTTATCGGCTCCGTTTTGTTATAAATATCCACACAGTGAAGATGACGCTCATCTTATGCAGCACGGCGCCTCAACATGTCTGCTGTCTAAGTTGCTAATATTAAAATGAAAATAGGCAGTTCCTTAAATCATGTTTACATTTTATTGTTGAGAAAGTGAAACAACGAAGCCAGGGTGATGTGAATGAAGTTATAAAGTACACTGTTCCCTTTGAAGATTTACCCGTGTCCTCGGTATAGTCTGCTTTTCCATATCAAACTGAGAAGAAGAGACTGCAGCCTTGATCAAACTTGCGAAGTCTGAACTTACACGGAGAAGATTCAGGACTGAACTGTGTGTTAGGCTACTTAATATTCAGGAAAAGCCCCAATCAGAGAGGCGAACGTCTGCAGCCCCGCCTCCGTTTTCAGATGTCTCCGTTTTCCATCATCCACACTGAGACGGAGCAGCAGCGTTTCAAAATGAAAACGGCCTCTCCAGCGTTTTCGTAACACTCCGTTTTCGGCGCTCGAGAACTCCGGCGTAGTGTGGACGGTTGGCGTAACCGTAGCAAAACTTATGCGTTTTCAAACTAAAACGCATTAGTGTAAACGGGGCCTTTGTGTCTTTTGATCTCTGTGGTGTTCACACTACGCAACACTCCGTGAACGATCCACAAGAGGGGGGTCACACACTACATGATCTGACAACAACTCATTCCCCATCAGCTCATTCAAGCTACCAAACCACAGCCAATGAAAATTTGAGGGAGGAGTCGTCAGAAAAAAGCTGAACACTATTGGCTGCTTGTGTGCTGATGACATCACTGACAGCTTTTCAAGCTTTGGAGAAAGCATTTAAAAACATCGTCAAATCAGCTGATTTATCAGCGCATTAATCACTCATCTGCAGGTTCCAGTGGAGAGATACACAGAGAGTTTTTAATTTTTGTAATTTTATAACTCTTTGAAATAAAACTAACATATTTATAACACCCCGCCGTTTTCTAACTATCAGTGTCTTTCTGACATTGTTATTTTTTTTATTACAAAACAGTAAAGAACTGAGCATTTCTGCCTTAAATTACCGTATTGGTCAAAATGACTGCATGCATGTCTGATACTTTTCACTGTGACTTTAAATATGTGTGCATTTTCTTGCCTGGCAACTTCCTGCTAACATAAACAAAACTTTCTGATGGCAAAAACATCAATTTACTTTAGATATCTTTCAAAACAGCATATTATGTGCTGTGAAATAGCTCCTGTTTGAAAGTGAAAATGAAAGCCAAGACCTTTAAGTGTTTTAGTGTCTTAACTACATATTTATAGGCTGTATTACCAAAACAATATTATATTTTTAGGGTTATGGTGTCATTAAATATGATGCCAGACATTCAAAGCTTAATTTTAATATCTCAATAATAGCTTTGAATGTAAATATGTTGTGACAATATGGCGTTTTATATAAGAACCGTCAGAATGAGCAGTATGGTAATTCTAATAGTAACAGAATTCTAGTTCTACTGTTAATATAGCCTACTCTCATGTCTGTGCTAACGCAGAATGAAGCGAGTGCACCGATGCCCATTCTGACCAATCACAGATGTTTCTGCTGAGCTCCTGAACACACAGGCACGCGGCTCATGCTGATATGCTCTCTCATTGGCTGTAGCTCGTCACTACATCTGACCACACGTGGGGTTGAGTCGGCCGACTGCTCTGGAATATTTAGCATGCTGAATATTGGATTTCCGTCTGCGAGGTGTCGGCGACGCGTCAGCGAGCCTCGTTGATGCGTTGTTCAGTAGTTCACACATAAAGAGCGGCGAGCGCCGAGCACCCGCAGATTTCTTCCCGATCACAGCCCGATCTGTCGGCGAGCTCATTAACTTCCAAATCGGGCTCAAATCAGGCTTAAAATCCTCTAGTGTGAACTAGGCATAAGAGGCGACACTCTAGTGCAATTTAGGAAACAGCCACTAGATGGCGCGGCGACCATTTTGGAATGAAAACTCCAGTAGAACAACAGCATATTATAAGTCTGTAAAATAAACTATTAAAAGTGCTGATGATTGTGATAGTAAGTGCTGTATTGTCATCTTTCAGGTTGTATCTCAGCTGTAATGCGCTTTTTAAATAAATAAATAAAAAAACAAAGCAGCTGCTTGCCATCGCGACAGCAATAAGATCCAATGGACAGCCGATCGCTTTCACTCCAAAATGGCGGAATCCGGGGCTGTTGCTGGGCGCTGCTGTTGCAATGAAATGTTGTATTGAGTGTTGCCTCTTGGTCATTCTTTTTCACATATATATACTTGTGTGTGTGTGTGTGTGTGTGTATATATATATATATATATATATATATATATATATATATATATATATATATATATATATATATATATATATATATATTAGGGATGTAACGGTATCAGAATTTCACGGTACGGTAATACCTCGGTATGAATGTCACGGTACGGTATTTATTGAATCATTTACAGGAAAAAACAAAACTTATGAAAATACTCCAAAAAAGTGCCAAAAGTGTCAATGACATACAAATTAGCCATCTATCTGTAAGCTTTGAAACAGGAACTTCAATTTTAATAACAAAAAAATATTAAACCATGTAAAAAAAATAAAGTTTCAATTTAGTATTGTTGAAAACTCATCACATTCAACATTTAATCACTCACTCACTTAGATAGAGATGGGTTTAAAGGAAAATTATCATATAAATATAATCTGGTAAAAGCTGGGATCTCTGGGTATTTACAATGTCCCCTGCAACAGAAAAAAAAACCTCTCATTTGGGACTGAGGTTTCTGGGACAAGAGAGATATGACTTGGCCCAGGTTGACAGCAGTGGGTAACGTTGTGCATTGTCTTTCCCCCACTTGAGAGGACAAACCATGAGTGAGATAGAGATCTCATGTCTGCATCAATCTGAACAGTGTGCTGACAACACCGCTATTCAGTACGCGCGCGCGACAACACTTGCTTGGAGTTTTCCAGCTCTTTTTCATCCCCGCTACTAGCAGCACACTCCATTTCCGCATTACTGGATCTGTAGCGACAACAGACCGCAAGGGATGATGGTCAAGCCTGGGCTGATGGGAATTGTAGTTTTCGCTACCTCCCGTTCGCTTCATTAGCCTGAGCAAATTTTCTCAGAAGACCTATAGTTTTACCGAGTCATGCGACTACGGTAATATCGAAAAAAATTAATATTGCGGTATGACGGTATTTACAATACTGTTACATCCCTAATATATATATATATATATATATATATATATATATATATATATATATATATATATATATATATATATATATATATATATATATATATATATATATATATATGTGTGTGTGTGTGTGTGTATGTGTGTGTGTTTGTGTATATATATATACCTTAAAACAAAGGACCATATATGACATATTGACATGGAAAAATAACAAGATCAAAGATCAAATCATTTCGATAAACACAATATGTAATATTTACAGATATAAGCAATCAATTTAGAGCAGGTAATTCAATCATATTTTTCTCATTCATTCTCAATCAAAAATGGTTTAATTTAATTGGGATTTGACATGACAATAAATGACATATTAACATAAAAAATAACTTCAAACTCTTTATTGTTTACGAATAAAAAAACTTTGCCAAAATAGTGATATTCACAATATAGTTAGTAATGAGTTCGTAATGAGTCTTCACATGTGCGGTAACTAAACCACAGATCCCATTAATCAGATTCTCGTTAAATCTCACCAAATGAGTCATTGTCTGGTTTGCCTCTTTTACTACTAGTATTAGTGTATATATTGACCGCCTGATGACTCTTTTTAACCTCTAATATTTTTTTCTTCCTCTTCTCTCATTAGGGACCTGCAGCTGGAGGATTTCATTGATCTGTACTGGCGTGATTTCCCCTCATTCATCAAAACGTTCAAGGAGGCCTGTGTGATTGATCAAGGTACGAGCACAAATCGATGTGTTCAGGACTGTTCATTAGCAGCTGAAGGCATTTCTATGCATTTACCAAACACTGCTGACCTGAGGATTTCAGCCTGATCTGCTTCCAGTCATGTTTAGGGTTTGAGCGGCAGGCCGTGGGGATTCTCCCGGCTTTTATATGGGAGAATTTAATGTATAAAGTAGATGTGAACTTTTAGTTTTCGATATCAAGATATTTTATGTGTATTAAAGGCCCTGATACTTTAAAGGGCACATAGTTTACCCGTTTTTTTAAGATTTAATATTAATGTTATGGTTCTTTGAGTGTGCCAGTTTAGGTTCAGTTCTAAACACAGTTCAAGGGCCTCATGCATCAACGCTGCGTACGCACAAAAACTTTGAGTACGCCAGGTTTCACGCTCAGAATCGCTCACGTTTGGATTTACTAACAATGAACTGAACGTGGGAATGTGCGCAGCTTTACGGCAGCTTTCTGGCTGGCGTACGCACTTTTTTTGTGCGTGTCTGTTTTATTTCCATTGGCGACTCCTAGAGGCAGTTGTGTTAAATTCCTCTCTACAAAGTGTCTGAGCCTTGCAATGGCAGCTGCATGAGACGGGTTCATCTAGCAGGTATATAAGGTTTCCATACCATACAGTTGAGCAGCTAAACATTAAAGCACAATTTGCAGCGGTCGCCTGTTTTCCCAATGTAATCTGAGCTATCTACCGCACGCACATTGCTATAAAGACACTATCTGAAGATGAATTTGCATGCGTGAATCAGAAACATTTTCATTCACTAAATGTGCAAATAAAATATGATGCACAGACTTATTAATGATTCCTACTTGTCTTTCTCGTGATAAATAGTTGGCAAAATCTGATATGTAGCGGGGAAAAAAGAAGAAAGAGTTCATCAGACGCTGGATTCGAACCGAGTTCATGCTCGAACGTGTCAAAACATGGTGACATGCATCTTACGAGCTGCGCCACTGAGACTGTTAAGGGTACCGCAACATTTTACACCTATAAATCACACTATTTCTTTTCTAATTCACTCAGTGCAATATTCAGACCCAACTGTGTTAACTGCATCAGCTAAACTCTCCCACTCTATTTTTTTCATTTGTTGTTAATTCCGGAGGACAAATTTGCAAATAACACCGCTTTTCTCCGGTCTACCTCCGAAAGCAGCACCTCCAATTCACATTCTGTTCAAAGTTTCTCTTTTTGCTTGATTTTGCCTTTGCTATTTTGTTGGGTTTTGCCAAAGTAGAGTCATTTGCATATTCATACAGGGGAGGAGGCAGGGAGGGGTTTTGTGCTCGTGCATGTTGCGCACAGTTTCACGTTCATTCAGATGTACAAAAGAATATGCGTGAGATTCGGCGTACACAGTGTTTCATACATCTGAATTTTTTTCTGCATACGCACATTTACAGCTTTGTGCGTACGCAATGTTTTAGTAAGATTTCCACGCAAGTCTTCGTACATGAGGCCCCTGATGTTTTTATTATAATGTGTTCAATAGTGTTAAGGGGCGTGTTGCTTCACATGAAAATTAAGCTGCGTCCCAAATCGCATACTTATGCACTATTCTACGCCATTTTGTAGTATAAATAGTGTATGTAGTGTGTTCACACTGAAAACTCTAAAAATAATAAGTGCACTTTGATTACCCGGATGATGCACTCATTCAGCCGCTAAAATGAAGAGTGGAATGATGGACACTTCACGCACTCAACGACCGCAGGTTTGCTTATGTAGCGGAAGGGGCGGAGCTATCGGACGCACTTGTTGAATACCTTTATTTATTTTGGATGGTGAAAGCAAAATTCTCCTATGATAGTGATTATAGCGCCTCCCGATGGTGAATGCAGCAATACTCACGGCAGGTATTATTTGATAATTCGGTCGTTTATTTCACTGATTTGGCAACCTTCAAACCTCATCAGGGAAACGGTTTGAATTTCCGCTTAGTAAAAAAACAATAGTGTGCCATTTGGGACGCCACTACATACATATACTATCCTGTTGAGTGTGTAAATGCATAAGTACATGTATAGTGTGCCATTTGGGACGCAGCTTTAGTTTCAACTTCCCTCCCTACGTAACAAGGGGGCGGAGCCAAGAGTTTCCCCGCTCTGTTTTTGACAACAGACAGGCAGACAGAGAGAAGCAGAGTGAGAGGATCAGCATTCAGCCGTACATGTACGACTCGGACGCAGACCAAGCAGAGAGTACGAAATCATTTGTGCCTTTGTATAGCTTTACAGCCAACTGTTACAGCCAACTGCTAGTTTAAATGCCGAGCTTGTACACCGAGACTAATAACCACGCACACTGAATTAACTTTGACTGAGACACCAGATGCACCGTTCAGAGCTGCGACACGGAACACCAGACACGCACATTCGCATGTTATTTAAAATGAAACTATTCAGATGGCGCTCTGTGGCGCGGCAGAAATATGAAGTGTCCCGAATCAAGGCTGGGTGCTGCGGACAGCCGCCGGCTGGAAGCACGTTTGTTTGTACCCTGACAGAAAGCTGTCAGTTTCCAGCTGCACCTAATTAAGATCACAGGGATCTTCTGTGACCGTGAGAAAAAACGGCTGAAATTTAAGGTAGACGCAATAAAAAGTACACGTTCAAAGTCCTGATTTTATTCTTGTAGAAAAAAAGCTTGTGCGCGCAACACAATTTATTCATTCATTCATTTTCTTGTCGGCTTAGTCCCTTTATTACTCCGAGGTCACCACAGCGGAATGAACCGCCAACTTACACGTTTTTACACAGCGGATGCCCTTCCAGCCGCAACTCATCTCTGCGAAACATCCACACACACTCATTCACACACACACACACACACACACACACACACACACACACTCATACACTACAACCAATTTAGCCTACCCAATTCACATGTACCGCATGTCTTTGGACTGTGGGGGAAACCGGAGCACCCGGAGGAAACCCACGCGAACGCAGGGAGAACATGCAAACTCCACACAGAAACGCCAACTGAGCCGAGGCTCGAACGAGTGACCCGGTCGCCCTGAAGCAGTGCAGATGTACAAAATAAAAACTATAAAAAGCAGTGGATCTTATCAAAGCATTTATTGGGTAAAATTGCTCATTTTTACTGTCATTCAATGTGTTTTGGTTACTTTAATTGAGCTCGAGTAGGTGCAAAAATACACCCAGTGGCGAATTGATAGCAACACTGCCCCTTTAGCTCTGCTCACGCTCCACGCTGACGCAATCTTTCTGTGTGCGATATGAAAGCGTTAACATTTATCTGTTAACATGGACGCCGAAATAAACACGAGCTGCTCACGCTCTGCTCGCACGTGCCATGTGAAAGAGGCGTAAACGATGAACAGACTCATGAAACAGGCTTGCCATGGTAGAAAGGATGATAGTCAGCCTTCAATGTCCTCGTTTGGTACAATACATTCTGATAAAAACAAGTGCACTTTACATGCTTCGTTCTTGTTGCATTATTCATTAAGATAAATCTAAACTAATTTCTGTAGTGCAAACAACTCACAATTGTAGTTGGGAACATCTGTTCTACCAAAAAGACCGGGGAGACAATTATGATACTGATTACATTTATTGATAAGTATTGTTTGACAAGAGTATCATGAAGCAGGATTTCTTTGGCAGAGACCCCGTCCATAGCTCGGTTTGGAAACTTCCATCTTGGAAAGATCCAGCTGAGTCTGCCGAGGACGAAGGCAGGGGCGGAGCCTTCCCCCCCTGAAAAGGGCCAACATGGTGGTGGTGGGGAGGATGGTGGGTGAACGTCTGCATCGGTGCCTGCAACCAAATGAATGAAATGAATGAACGGCTTATATATTCCTTGTGTCTCTTGGCTATTGGTTGGACCTCATTGTGATGGGTGACGTGGCATTAGGTATTCCTTGTGTCTCTTGGCTATTGGTTGGAACTCATTGTGATGGGTGACGTGGCATTAGGTATTCCTTGTGTCTCTTGGCTATTGGTTGGAACTCATTGTGATGGGTGACGTGGCATTAGGTATTCCTTGTGTCTCTTGGCTATTGGTTGGAACTCATTGTGATGGGTGACGTGGCATTAGGTATTCCTCGTGTCTCTTGGCTATTGGTTGGAACTCATTGTGATGGGTGACGTGGCATTAGGTATTCCTTGTGTCTCTTGGCTATTGGTTGGAACTCATTGTGATGGGTGACGTGGCATTAGGTATTCCTTGTGTCTCGTGGCTATTGGTTGGAACGAATTGTGATGAGTAACGTGACATTTTGGTCTTCCTGGTAGAACTACCGCTACAAGCTACATTTATTACATGTAATGCATATTTAAAAAATAGTTGGGTTTAAATTGGGCTCGTGTTTATGATTAAAGTTAAAGTGTCGGACCGAGTCGGGCTCGGACACAAGGTGCACAGGCTCAAGTAGTGTGGAGTTTTATTTTTTGGGCCCGGTCTAAGTGACAACTCACCATTATGGATGACAGATGTGAAATTGGCACTGGTGTGACTTTGGTAAATCAAATATATTTGTTTGAAAACATCGAAAGAGAAATACTTGTAAGAGTACTGTAAAATACTTACTTGCACAACAAAACATTCTGTATTTATTTAGAAATTTAACATTTTTGTGGCAAGGTTGAAATTCACATGGAATTGCTCACATACCCTTTTATCACATGTAAAGAATCGTTTAGCTGTCTTTACATTATTTCACACGTCTTCACACTGTTCTGTCCTCTCTGTGTGTGTATAGCTCAGATGGAGCTGATGACGTGGCCGGTGTTTCTGAATGGAGAAGCTCCGTGTGTGTTCAACTGGATCAGTCGCTGTCTGAGAGGACAAGATGTTGCGCCGTTTCCATATCTGCCTGGCATCTGTGAGAGAACCAAACTACTGGTGCTGGTAAGGACCAAAATTCAACTTGTCGTGCAGAAATACACTCCAGAAAAGCATTTATTCCTTGTTTAATATGTCCAGTAGAGTTTAATATGTCATTTTTGAACTGTCCAATATGCTCTTTAAAAAAGAAAACAGGAACACTTTAAAAAAATATCCATAAATTAGCAGTTTTTTGCATTTTGTGATTCATGTTTTATTTTTACATTTTTACTGTTAATTTATGCTTTTGAATTGCATTTTGGGACCTTGATCTTTCCACCAAATGCTTTGAAAAGTTTAAAAAAGTGACATTTTTAATAGTTTAATGATATATTGTTTGGGTTAGTGTTGTATATTGCGCTACAAACACCTTGTTATAAGCTGCCAGTATATTATCTGTTATTTTACAGACTTATTTCTCTAAATATTATTTCTTCTACATAATATTATCTATATTAAAGAATTTAAACTCTGCAGACCCGATACCGGGTCTGTGACGTCATCGACTTTCGCTTTAAGATTTAAAGGGCGAGCATTGCACCAGACCCTCGTAAGTGGTTTCGTTTGAAAGTGTAGAATCTATATGTTATGCACATACGCATCACTTTGGTTTTTATTCTACTGTACAAAAGTTATTTACACTTAAATACACAGTATTTTGGATACCCGAGCTGGGTATTTTACATTGGTTCATTTTCATAAGGTTCATATATGACACATGTACAAGTTATAGCTCAAATGAAAGCTCTTGCCGGTGCTCATACGGTTCTAGCATTCTTTTTACTGAATTATATTCACATATCAAACAGTTGCCGAATGAATCACCGTGTTTCCATGGCGCAGAAGTGAAAACAATACATTTATGATCACTAAGCAGCCCCAGATAGCAGACAGCTGTCATCTCTGACCTTATGCTGTGTGCTTCAGGACCATTCTCCTCTGTATTTGAGGTGATGTGCATAAGTAATCCTTTTATATGTCTGACGTAATCCAAACACAGTGAATTATGTTTGATCAAACAAAAGAATAGTGAAATATGTAAACAATGATCGGTCCCTGTGGCTTGTACAGCACCTCTCATCAGTTGGAATACAATAACTTTTGCATAGATTATGGTAGAGACATTTTTCTTTTTTCCTATGATTACAGACATATGCAGGAACCACCAAAATTAATTACAGCACCCTAAACCACACAGAACCTAAAAGGTACAGTAAAAAAAAAATACAAAAAGCGCCTCTTTTTCTAGGTGTTTATTATAACACAGACAACATTTACAGTTATTTAAACTCTTTCAATAGTGTTTTATGAAAATTCAAAGGTTTTTCTTTATAATAAATCCAAAGTTTTGCATTTACACCTCTGCATGTGGATTTGGGAAGCTTTTAAATTTGGGTAGGCAAAATCCAGGCAAAAATCCCAAAATAACAGCCGAGTTTAACTGGTTAACTATTAAAATCTCTATAAAAGTCGCTTTGTTAATCTGCAGAGTTAAATTTTCAACATCAGAATTCGACAGAGTAGAGACTTACATCCTATAATGCAATTCACAACCATAAATAAACAGAAAAACACTTGTAAATCACAAAATACAGAAACCGTTCATTAACAGATATTTGTTATTTACAGTGCAGTCTTGTTCTTTACTAGATGTTGTACAGTATGAACTGATTAGTCTGTTTCACAATCACTTATTTGAGCAATTCTTATAATTAATCATTTAGAAAGACTCAAACTCGGGAGGTGAATCTGTCTGACGAATCTTTGATTTATATCTTTGATTACTTTTTATTATTTGCATGTATTTTAAGGGTGTTTTCACACCTCAAGTTTGGAAAAAGTCAGGAAAGTGGGTGTGTCCAGTTCTGATTAGGTGGGAGTGTCGGGGAAGGGAAAGAGGGAAGGTTTTCCATGAAAATGGGAGTTTCCGTTTGGGCACAAGCTGATTTTCATGGAGGCAAAACAAACAAAGACGCAGGGGGAGAAAGACAGTGACTGTGTTTACATGGACATCAGTAATCAAATTATTTGCTAAATTAATAATTTGTCGACTTTAACTGCAGTTCAGCACTCTTACCTTCATTCAGGAACATTTCCTGCATGCCCCCCGTGACAAACAAGAAAAAAACCTCCGCATTTCTCTGTAAATTAGATGCACTCGGTAGGTAGCATCAGAAAGCCGTGTGTTTATAGACCATCCTGTCACAACAAGTGCCGAAAATTCTACAGACAGTTATAGTTTATGGTGTTAACATTTAGAGAGCAGCATTTACAGTACATTCAGCCTATAATATTGTAGTGATATGAACGTACGGTAAACTTAGTAACTAAATCATTTTGACTAAGGTATGTGTTCAAAAACTGAAAGAGCACTGCTGATGATACGAACTAACTTTGCCATCTGAATAAACATAAACAAAGACCACTGATCACACACTGACCAAATCTGTAGAGACAGGACAATCAACTGAAGCTGCGTCTTTTTTAAAAGGAGACAAGCAGCAAATCCGTATTTCACCATTTCCAGTTGCGAAAAGCTCTCAGGTAAAAATGTTCCTTACAAACGTATTTCTGACGCGTGTCGCGTCCATCCACACGTGAGTCCAGCTGCGCTCCTCTCATAGCAGGAAATGAAAGCAAAACCGTGTCGACCCGTGTCTCCAAACAACTCTTCTTCTTTCACTTGTATTTGCAACACAACGTGGCGTCTCTTTGCCGTCTGAACACTGTAACAGGTAAAAATTTCGAAGCATTCATGCATATTAATGAAGTTGCACCGCATACACAATAGAGTGCGCTGATTGGTTTGAACCAAGTTTTTCTCATGAGTTAATGCAGCACACTCAGAGATGTCACAATGCACTCGCAGGTACAGACATCCACTCTCCATGCTGGAAAATACAAAAACAGCTTCAATACAGCTTTAAAAATTGGTTTCAAACCGGAAACAACTAATTTGCTTGAAAAAACGCAAACACAACCAATTTTAACTTTTTTTTTTTTTTTGTGAAACATTTGTGTCCTAATAGTGTTTTTAGCAGCGTGGGACACATATACGACTGTCAACAGCTTAAAAAAATGGGTTTTGGTGTTTCGTGACCCTTTAAATATACAAAAACGAATTTTCTAAATCATTATTTCACTATTATGCATGAAAGCACTAGTGTTATTGTCACATGATTCTTCAGAAAAACATTCTACAGTAATAATTTGCTGTTCAACATATTTTTCATTTTATTTTCATTTGGCTTAGTCCCTTTATTCATCAGGGGTTGCCACAGTGGAATGAACCACCAACTTATCCATCATATGTTTAACACAGTGGATGCCCTTCCAGCTTCCAACACCCACCCACACACACTCATTCACACACATACACTACGGCCAATTTAGCTTACCCGATTCACCACTGTGGTGTATGTGTTTGGACTGTGGGGGAAACCAGAGCACCCAGATGAAACCCACGCCAACACGGGGAGAACTTGCAAACTCCACACAGAATTGCCTACTGGCCTAGCCAGGACTCGAAGCAGTGATGTTCTAGCTTTGAAGCAACAGTGCTAACCACTAAGCTTTTTCAACATATATCTTTTCTATAAATATTGTAACCATTTATTATATTTGTAGAAATCCTGGTACATTTTTGTGTTTTTTTATGAATAGAAATTTCAAATAAGCAGCAGTTATTTTTTTAGAAAGAATTTGTTTGTTACATTTATTAGTGCTTAATATTAATAAATGTATTGGTTTATCTATATGTATGTTTTTCAATTTATTCTGGGCTTTTATTATGTTTTAGTATTAAAATTATATTTTTAAATTGTTTAAATGACCAACATTTTCGAGCATTTTTGATATGGTACATATATAACATAAAATAAAACCTTTTTATGTGAAACAAGGAAATAAAAAAGCCCTTCATAGTAAGCATGTAGAAGTCTTTAATGCTTTATATAGCTTTAAACTTTAAATAAAATATTGATTACACTAATCTCACCTCTATAGAAACTTTCTTATGTTGCGTATGACATCTCTGATTAACATAATGCGTCCATACTCAACAAAAGTTTTATCTTCTTCAAACTAATAGTTCTATCTGCAAACTAAGCAGTAATGCATGAGCGGATGGTGCTAATGCCCAACAGGTGGCGCTGTGGGTGAGCAGAGTGTCAGGGTGTCATGCCCTCAACTCACACACACGTGTTCCATGGAAATGTCAAGCAGTTAGATGGCAAAGTGCTGCAAGCTAATCATAATGACATTTAGCGAGCAGCGAGTCGTCCCTGGGCATCCAGCGAGTGTGTGTTCTCGAGCAGCATCCGTGCTCCACCTTCATTAGTGCTCTGAATCACTCCAATGGCCCATGTGTGTTTATATATATATGTGTGTGTGTGTGTGTGTGTGTGTATGTGTTGTGTGTATTTTGTTATACCTGTGTGTGTGTGTGTGTGTGTGTATGCATGAATGTGTATATATGTATGTGTGTGTATATGTATATATCTGTGTATGTATATGTACGTTTGTGTGTGTGTGTGTGTGTTTCTGCATGTATGTATGTATGCATGTTTATATACATGTGTATGTATGTATATGTATGTGCATGTTTATGTACTGTGTGCGTGTGTGCGTGCAAGTGTGTATACACATACACACACACACACACACACACATATATATATATATATATATATATATATATATGTATATATATATATATATATATATGTATATATATATATATATATAAATATATATGTGTGTGTGTGTGTGTGTGTGTGTGTATGTATGTATATGTGTGTGTGTGCATATATATATATATATATATATATATCCATACATATATATATATATATATATATATATATATATATATATATATATATATATATATATATATATATATATATATATATATATACATATATATATATATATGTATTATATGTATGTATGTATGTATGTATGTACGTATGTATGTATGTAAGTGTATTTATGTGTGTGTATACATATGTTTGAGTGTGTTT